GACCCAACGTCTGGCCCTGCATGAAGGGTCCACCGTGTTCTGTTTCGAGCTGAAAATTATGGTTGAGGGGAAAATTGTGATTGGCCAGCATAGACCACTGGGCACATGTTAAGTCCTCGTCTTTTCATGAATTTTGATTATTATTAATAATATTATTTTACACATGGTTAGACATATGATGTGATCATTATTACAACCTTTATTGATGTTTCCTTTTTATATCTTTTTTAATGACCACAAAATTTTAATCATTATTCTAGTTGTTTTCTCATGTTTAAAATATTCATTTATATTAAATAATTACGTTAAAATATAGTTGTATAATTAAATTTGTAGCCCTTTTGATTTACGCCTCTAATATTTATGATAAATTACTTGGACGCAAGAAATTTAAGCGTCTTTTGAAGTGATAAAGTTAAAACTTAATATGTGCGTGTGTATTTTATATGAGTTTTTTTTAATATTTTAGAAAGAGAGGAAATAAAAAGCTTATACTCCAAAGATTTCTCAGACTTTAAAAATCACTTCAAGTTCAATAGTCATCTACCAAATTTGACATTTGATATAAACTAGCAAACCTTACCAAACCAGATTTGCCTCTCAGATCAATCGGCCATGCTAGGCCCACGATACATTAATTGAAACGTTATTACATGAAGGTCAAATTTAATTGAATTTAAATCCTCTGAAGTTGCCTTAGGTAAAGTTTTCTTTCATTTTTTTAGTACTTTCATGGAAAATTTTCATCCAAGACTGATTGGCCACATTTAATGAAAAAGAAGACCCATTAAACTTTAAAAATTCACTTTAGACTAGAAACACTGAAATAAAATTAAAATGCAAAGTAAAACTACTTTATTGTTCCTCATCTCTTCTGATTCAATTACTGATTAAAATGAGTTATTCATTAACTTATAGAAGTTATTTGTGTCATTACTGAATTTTAATTTTATTTCAAGTGTTATTAATTGTGGTAAAACGAATTATTTATTTTGCTATCTGAAGTTGTTTGTAAACCTACAAGAGTTGTTTGCACAATTATTGAATTTTGATTTTACTCTGAGTGGTGTAATCATGGTAAAATAAATCATTTATTTCCCTCCATAAGTTGTCCATTAATTTACATGAGTAGAGTCGAGAATAAGAATTGGGCCTGAAAGCTCTATTTAAATAAGGGTTCAAGCTTTAGAAATTATTTTTTTAAAAAGTAAATGGGCTTAAAGGCTTGACCCTGATAAGCCTTGTAAAAAAGGGCTCGAACTCGAACTCGAACGACCCTTCAAGCCCTAATAAGTTAGGTTATCTTATATATATATATATATTTATGCATATACATACATATATTTGATTAATAATGACACAATTTGCTTAATATTTATTATAAGAGATGAAAAAGAAGTTGCAAAGATAATTGACATTAAACCTCCACCTCAATCTTCAACAAGTAGACCTATATTTGAGGGATATAATATTTTATTTTTATATGATGATAAGGAGGATTTAGATTTACATTGATGAAGATTTTAATCTTCATATTAAATTTTAAATTTTAAAATTTGTTGAATTTTATGTTAAATTGTTTGTGAGATTTTAATTTGTTTTATGTTACATGTTAGATTTTTTTTTAAGAAAGAAGGCTTAAGGGCCCGATCATAAGCCCTATAAATAAGGGCCAAGCCTCAGAATTGGGTCAAATTTTGGGTAACTAAGCTTTAGGGCCTAAATTCTTAAGGGTAGGGCCTATAAGAGTCGGACTTGCCCTAATTCTCACCTCTCTACATGAGTTGTTAGTGGCACAATTGAATATTGATTTTATTTCAAATGTTATAATTATAATAAAATAAGTTGTTTATTGACTTACAGTAGTTATTTGTGCCATTACTTAATTTTGTTTTTATTTTAGGTATTATAATCATGGTAAGATGAATTGTTCATTTTCCTACATGAAATTGTTTATTAACTTACAGGAGTTGTTTGTGTCATTACTAAATCTTGATTTTATTCTAAGTCTTATAATTATGATAAAACAAATTGTTAATTTCTCTACATCAAGTTATTTATTGACCTACAATAGTTGTTTAGGCCATTACTGAATCTTAACTTTATTTCAAGTGTTGTAATCATAATAAAATGAGTTATTCACTTTTCTACATCAAGTTGTTCATTGACCTGTGAAAATCATTTATGCCACTATTGAATCTTAATTTTATTTCAAGTATTGTAATCATGCAAGGTAAAATGAGTTATTTATTATCTATACTGAAGTTGTTCATAATTCCCTATGTGAAGTTGTTCATTAACCTATAGAAGTTGTTTGTGCCACTACTTAATCTTGATTTTATTACAAATGTTGTTCATTATCCATATTGAAGTGGTTATTTTTTCTACAGGAGTTATTTGCAAATTCTCAACAGCCTCATATCTTCTTGCTCTTTCCTCGTTCATCTTCTCAACTAGGTGTAGGGGGATGTTAGGACGCACGTGTAGAATCAATCTTGAGTCTAAAATCATAGTTTTGAGAAATTTTATCCTAGAACACCCTATGATCATTGAAACAGTTGCACGGATATGAATATACATATCAAATATGATAGTCAATACTTTAATTTTTAAAAATATAAGATATGATACGTTTTCGATATGTGTATATATATTTATAACAAATATTAAAAATATAATTTCAATTTAAAAAATATTTAAATTAGCATACATATATAGTCCTTTATAATAATACCACGTAAAATATAATAATTAATTATATTTTTATTTTATCTATACCTAATTGCTTACCGCCTAGTCCCTATTGATGGGTGTAGTATCAATATCTCTTCCTTTTCGACCATCATGAGATTACATTTTCACATTTTTATAATTAAGAAAAATATAATATTTATTCTGTTATTACATCCAAAATTTATTTTGTAAAGAAGATCCAATCTATGACTTTAAAAGAAAATTAAAAAAAATGATATTATTAATAAAAATTTTAATATTGCAAGTTTTAATAAATTTAATTTTTTTAAATTGTTTGGTTTTCAAGTATCGATTAACCATCTAGAAGTATAGGGTAGGTATCGAAAATTAATTTTTTTAAATTTAAAAAAATATTATTTTGATACTTTATGGATACGTGTCGAATAAGTATTGATAGTAGATGCGATACTGATATCGATACGTGAGGCAATTTAAAGTATCAGACCTTCATAACCACGCAATACTATAATTTATAAGATGAGACTAGATTAAAAATGAGGTGAATAAGTAAAAGCCCAGAGCATTTTTTATATCTTTGTACTTGAGCGGGATATAATTATAAATCTGACTTGGTGGGTGAAAATGGTATGGTCAATTACAAAGATATGGGATGAAATTAGGAGCGATCTCTAAAGAATTAGAAACACAAGGAGGAGCAATTATAAGAGGGGAAAGTGGAGCAAATAATAAAGCACATATTTTTGGGGATCAATGCGATGTCATAGCCAGCCCCTTTTTCATCGCAACCATTTTTCAACCATTTTGCTTGGTGGTCCTATTTTCTTCATGCATTCATTCACGTCTTATTATTTTGCACTTTATGTTTCAACCCACAATATATATAACATGAACCCTCTTCCTCCATTATTCTTGCTAAGCTTGCCTCCCATGGTGATCGACCTCTCTCTGCAAATTTTTCTTTTGGGTATGGATAAAAGTAAGAGAGTGTTCTCAGAGAGAGAGAAGGAAAAGGGAAACTGAAGATTTTTTTTTTTAACTTAAAAGAAGGTTAGTTTTGTCATTTCTCTTAACATTTTAATTTCATTTCAATACCCCTGATCTAAATTAAATTTTCAAAGTTTAAATGACTTTTTTTTTATTAAGTGTAATCAAGAGATCTTAAATGAAAATTTCCCCAGCTATTTTCTTTCATTTTATTATTTTTTATAAAATATAAAATATTATTTTACTTTATTAAAAAGAAAAACTTTACAGAAATTCATCAATCTCAAGGATCTAAATTCGATTTAATTTGCATGCATGATTTAAATAACCACGTAGGTTGTTAAGAGATAAAGTACGAAATGAAAGAAGTAAGCATGCATATTATTACTCGCATCACAAGCTTCTTCTTTTTTTTTTCCTCATGAGATTTTAATTCTGAACTTATAAATTCCACGTGCATATTATAATCATAGATTCAATATGGTTCAGGCAGTTGAACCCTTAATTGATAATGTAATAATTAAATTTAAAAATAATGTCACACATATAACCCACATGATGCTAGAAATGGAAAGTAACAAACAAATATTCAAGTAGAGGCAGGATATAATATAAATTAATTTAAAATTTTAAAACTTAAGTTTATAAATCCTTGCACTTTATTTTAAATTTATATCAATTATTAAAATCGACTTTATTCAATATATAAGGTAAGTTGATCCTAACTCCTATAAAGGGGAAGCGAACAAGATAACAAAAGAATATATATCTTAATTCAAAACTTTAATATTGATATTTATAAGTTTTTATATTTTATTATATATATACATACATATTAATTATCGAGCAAAATTTTAGCTGAGACTTTTTATATTATCTTAAATTCAGTCACATTTAGACAATGTAATATCCGGTAATAACAAAGTCTAAACCATTGAAAGTAAAATTCAAACACATAGTAAGGATACTTTCAAAAAGAAAAATTGGAATTGGTCTGATTTCGGTTGGACTTCGGTTTAGCCAGATTAAAATAGTCCAAGGCGGTTCGACCGCAGCAAGGATTCCAGTTTCCAAGCATCAAATCGGGCGTTTACTAGAGAGGGTGGCGGCTGAACCGGTCCTGCCTATCCCCTACTCTCGCCCCTCTCTCCTCCCACTCTCTCACTTGCTTTGCCATCAAAAGTGTCTGCAGAGACTTGCAACCCTCCCTCTCTCCTCCGGAGCTTACTAGGAGAGCTGCCATCGCCATCGTCACAGCCCCAACGTTTATGTGGAGATTGACATAATAAGAATTCCTAACCAAAAAATAATCATCACTTCACATCATCACCATGATTAACTTCCCACTGTCTTTAATAATACTGCCAATAATACTCCTCGGTGTCGTGACTAGACCTATAAGCTGACATTTGACAGGTTGACATTTGCATTACTTTATATCTCGTGCGTGTCTCAATAATTCAGATATCTACTATATTTAGCCCTTAGATCCTGCTCTACGCGGTGTTATCCATATATGGACAACATTCTGGCACTAAAAGTGAGTCCTCTGGCACTTTTTCTTCCCTACTTTTACGTCTCAATTAAATAGAAGAAAGGGATTCTTACTGTGCTTCAGAGGAAGAGTATGTACATGAATGATCAAATTAAAGTCTCGGAAATCATGTTCACGAATGGTGATTTGTGATTTGTGATTGGTGATAGAAAGAGGTTTTTGTCCGTAACATTTGGAGGTAGGAAGAGAGGAGAGCGAGCAATAATGGCTTGAGCTGAGCAATAATACCACCAATTAGGGTCTTGGGGGGTTGTAAGCAACACATTCCTGTGACTTATAATTGATGAGGATTGAAGGGTCCGGTTCTTGTCGCTTCCACAATATCCCAACATTGTACTATTATCAGTCCTGTCACAAACTATATATGGATTGATCAGAAACATGGGGAATTCAAAGAGAGAGAGATATACTTGTTCACAAAGGAATTTGATATAATCTTAATCAAATATCACCTAATGCAGAGGCTGTGTGTCAGCGTACAAGTATCAACCATGATCCCCAAGAAAGGAAAAAACTGGAGCAACTTGTTTGCCTTATAACCAAACAACGTGACTTTAAAGCGACGGACATACTAGGCCTTCTTACGGCTATCTGCAACTTCTCTGATCACTTAGGTTTTGGGTCCAGAAAATAAAGCTGTACCAAGCACCATCATATGCTTAGGCTGGAAGATCAGTGAAGATATCTAACATGGGCCCAACTTTTTTTAAAAAAATACATGAAGTCAGGTCAACAACAGGTACTTACAGCCAACCCAGCCCATAATCCCCATCGATTGTTCCTCTTGAGTTATTGGGCTCATGATGCAATAAGTGAAAAACGTGTTTCGGATTTGTGTGACTAAATTCGAAAACAGTTAGATGATGAAATAGCAACATCGTAGGAATGATGTAACAGGGGTATATATACAGACATCAAAGAGTGAGAGCTGAGTCCACCGGTAAATTCCTAAATTAACACAGACACGCGACGCAAGAGGTTATCAGAAGCTGAAATTAATTAATCGTCGTGTGTCTCTGCGTGTGTGTGGCTGTACTATGTATGCCCTAAATAACCAGAAACATTCCCTATTTTTATTTTACAAGTCTTGGCGCGCCCATAACTGTTTGCCATAACCACCCAACCTTCTCCATATGCGTCACTCTCTCCATAACTGCTTTTGTCCATCTCATGCATCACTTCCTGCCAGCTGCCACCCATAAATATCCAATTTTCCTACTGTTATTTAATGGCTTTCTCGTTTGAACTCATTTGTTCCAATGTATAGAATACTCGTCTTTAAGATAACTATCCAGAAAACAATGCATTATATTATATCCATTATGGGCATTCCTAGCCTAGCCTCTGGCTCAGTGCGTTTGATGAGATCATGAAATATAAATATTCTAAAGCATTGTACGTGTTGGATCTTGAGCTAAATGATTAAGTTATTCTATCCCCTCAATTATGCTTTTACGATCGATCTCGATCTGTGCTCTGTGGCCGATCTTTTGTCTCCAGTACTGAGCTGCCCAGCCTCATTATATGTACATGCACACATCGATACATGTATAAATTAAACGATACGAGATTGATCTGTATGTCATTTTTGAACGGACATTTCCAAGAGGCTGGTATATATATAATATAGGCCACGCAAGCAAAACTTCATTTCTACTTCCATTCAATATCATTTTAACAGAGCCTATAACATATATTATTCATTAAGTTTTTCATCCACCGGCTATATAGCTGCAAACATTTTATTTTTTTTTCCTTCTTTCAAGTAAAAGGAAGAAGAAAAGAAGTAATGGACTAACTAACATGTATGTATGTATATATTGGACCTAATTATGAATCAAGAGGTCTTGATGAGAAGACCTGCAAAGTCGAAAAATCGAAGGAATTCCAGTTCCAGGAATCGGCGATGGGCAATTGAGAAAGAGCATCCTCGTCATAATTGAAGGGCAAGGGATTCTCCAATTCCTCCTGCAACTGCATCAGAGGCGGCTGCCAGGTGACGGACGAGGACGACGTCGTAGCATCAGACAAGCAGAAAACATCGTGGACCACTTGTCCACCGCCGCCACCTAACAAGCTTTCCCACTCCGGCTCAATTCCACTCGTCACCGACTCGTCCCGAGGAAGAAGCCTCTCTCCCTCTGGCACCACATCCGTGACGGGATCGGACGGCTGAGGAGCATCGTTGTCGGCATTAGAATCATGACCGGAGCTCAAGTAGTTGGCGAAGACGAGGGCCATGTCGATGTGCGACCCATTGGCTTGGGACGGATCATGAGCCTCGGAGTCTTTGGCGGAGTTAGGAGTAAGGTTGGTGGAACTGGAAAGACGGTGGTTTGGCGGGAGGCTAGGGGCCTTAGTACGGCGGGATTTACGGGCAGCGCCGCCGATGGGGACGTTGCGGAGGAAACCGCCTTTGGTCCAGTAGCGACGGCAAGATTTACACAGGTAGCGAGGCTGGGATAAGCTGTAGTTGTTGTAGTAACAGAACTTGGTGTTGGAAGAAGCACAGCGAGGGCAGGGGGGAGACGGCTCCACGTGGCTGGGTTTCCAACTGGGCAATGGCTTGGGACTGGCATCACACCCGGCTGAGAATTCAGAACCCAACATCGTACATATCAAAGAGATCTCTCAAGAGGCAAAGAGCGAGTGTGTTTGTGGGTGGCAGAGGAGTACATGGATGTAATATAAGGAGGAGAGAGGAACGTGGGGGTGTCGTCCCAAGCAAGTGACGGGTGATTGGACTGGATGTGCGGAAAGGAATTCAAAATATTTTTTTAATTAAAGTAATAAATTGACACTCAAAAAGCTTATAATGCTGGGTTAATTATTATTTAAAAAAAAAAAAAGAAGTGGAGAGTTGTCTTATAAGGAAGATAATAAAGACATTTAGGGGAGGGGGAGAGGAAGACGTGGTGTGAGATGATTGGGGGAGAGGGGGAGGCTGAGAAGTCAAAGTGGGGGTATTTGAAGAAGGGGTAGGTCATGTGGGGGTGGTGGAGAGAGATGACCCGGTGGCCATGCAAGAAGTCCGTGTCAAGGAGCAATGAAGTGCTCAAATACGGTGCACGGAAGCCGGGAGCACGTGCACCTTTGAGGTACGTGGCATATCTTCCTTCATCCTCACCCCACATTTGACCCTATATTTCGCCCCTCCAATTAATTCGTTCATTAATTCACTATAATAATCTAACTATAGTATGTAGTAATTAATTATACTCATTCCTCAACGCCGCTTCAGTGTGCGCGTATTTCTTTTGGCCAGACTATGTGTGCATATTTGATTCCCCATTATATACAAATCGCCAAAACTAGGTTCTAATAGTTTTTACCCAGAAGTCAGAACCTGAACATACATGAGAACCTCTAGATCTATCACCTCCCTTGCTCCGTCATGTAATAATTTAAGGGGTTAAATGGTAAATCCTTGAACTTAAACTTATTTTTTATATAATATTTTTACTTAACCTTTATTATTATTAATATAACTTTAATAATTAGTTGATCACAAAATAAGAAAAAAATTAAATTACAGAATAATTCAAAAAAATTTCTTGATCCTTTTATAAAATTTTTTGATATTTGTTTGTAATTTTTGAGTCATTTTCTATAATTCTTTTGATCTTTTTTTGGTCAATATTTCCTAATTAATTAATGGTTAAAATTAATTTTTTTAATTGTAATGGTGACATTGCATTGTTTTTAAAAGTTAGGAGGGAAGTATTGTATAAAAAATGAGTTTAAAATTCTAGACACTTTTAACCTTATATAGTTTAGGGGCAAATTAATCATTTAATCCTAATTTAATAACTCACCATCTTCGTTATTATTTGATTCAAGTCACAAAATGAAAGTCGGCTATCATGAATTGCTATATAGACTATATGGTTGGCGGAAGAAATAAATTAACATGAAGATCGGATGATAATGTATGTGTAATCACATATATGGGGAAGGGATGCCAGAAATTAACATAGGAAGCACGTGGGGGGTTTAACGTTGCTGTCACTGCGGGTGCTAATGCCATCCTGTTGTTGTTGAGGATCCGTCTCCTCCACGTCGCTTGTTCCTTCTCTTCTCACACCTTTTCTCATTTAAACCAAATTTATATGAATATATAATTCTGTCTATGTAATCAATTTCTTTCCTGATTACAATATTGATCCACTCCTATGTTCACATGTACTTTAACTTGATTGATAAAACATGATATCGGATACTTGAAATCAGGAAGCATGTACAACACAAGAGTGCGTGTATACAATGCATCCATATATCTATTTTGAAAATATAAAACATTGACGCGCGCAAATCATATATTAACATTGACACCACACACCACACTAACTTGGAATATTTGGACTCCGAAGTCAGAACTAGTGTTGATTTGGGCGACTGAATTCATTAACTCCGGTCCGGTTACAGTGAGAACGAGAATTTCGTCGGAAAGCGGAAAAGACGGTTATTTGGGAAATCTTATTTTTATTTTTCAAGACGGCCTGGAGGCCCCTTCACTTTAAAGAATCGAAAGTTTTAGCAGAATGGGCCTTTAAGCCCAATTCGAGCTATGGGCGGGAGGCGATACAAATGTGAAGGCAAATAAAAATTTTCATGCAGCTCTAGTTGTAATTCATTTGATAATGAAATAGTAAATGTATGCCTGAGATTGAAATCATTTAACATGTAGTTTTTTAGACATTCGTTGAAAATGCTTTTGTAAATATCTTCAACCTTCATTTCAAAGAACTTTTGTCTGCTTTGCTTATCAATGAGATTAAAATCTCCAAGAAGTTCTTTATGGATCATTCTTAAGAATGATGCTGTATATATCAGGAAGTTGTGTTACTTGTATTTTTTGATACTTGCTGAGGTGTTGAAACCATTCTCTCAAGCAATCATTCTTGTGAGAAATTCTAAAATTAGCTCTTGAAGAGTTACATATTGCCTAGTCATCTATAAATTAATCCAAGGTTCAAACTCATAAAGTCTATCCCTCCATTTATGAGGAGGTAAATTATCAAAAGTAAATCATGGCCCAGAGGATGGCTTAAAACTACAAGTGTTTGTCTTAGTAGAATTGTCTTCTATGAACCCTGATTCATCTTTTAAATCTTCTACAACTAGTTCAATTAAAGGAAGTTGTACCATGACAATTTTGGTAATATCAACTAGATGTTGATCATCCCCAAATTCTGCACTTTTAGATAAGAGATCAACCAAAACAGTTGAATCTAAATCTTTTTCAGTGTAAGCTTATTCAAAAATAGCTTTTTAGATAAAAGCAATAGTTCTTGGTGAATCTATTAGATTTATTATGCTGCTTTTGTCTTCTCTAGAGGATAAAGGTGGTCTTTGTTTAGGTGATGAAGGAAGAGGTGTTGATATTTTCAAGGGCTTAATAGGATAAGATTCTAAAGGTTTTGAGAAGTGTAAAATCTCACTCCACTAAATACAATTAACTAGTAAAACTCATGGTAATCAAAAGATTAATACAAAATAGTGATTACCAAGTTTTAGTTTAAATTCAAAGGATCCCAATTTTTCTAAATCAAAAAGAGTTTAAATCCATCAAAATCTCTTATATCAGAGTAAAGATAAGTTATAAAAGCATGAAATATCTTAGAAGAGTAAAAAAGAATGAAAATCATTGAAAACAACTCATATGCTGTGAAAATTCATTTTCACAATCAAACCCTAATCATAAACTCATAAATGTAAAAAAATGAGGAGATTAATGCGTGTGGTACTTATCTTGGGTGTTTTTAACTTCCAAAATACTCCCACTGTCGTCCAATAACAAACCCTCACAGAGCTTGGCGTGCCTCTTCATTTTCTCCTTTCCCTCCTTTCCATTTCTGTCTTAGTTTCGTGACTTATTTCTGTAGAATTCATATTGTGCACCGCGACACTTGTCCCCACGTGCCGTAGCATATGGTATGGAGAAGAAAGCTCTTACCTGGTGGCCCTATGTGCTGCAGTGCAACACCCACATACCACGGCATGTGATACAGAGGTTTTTTAGCTTGTTTTTTTTCCACTTTTTAGTCCCCAAATAACCCAATTTTACTTTGAACCCAAATTATACCTGAAATCTTAACTAAAAATACTTATTATTCTCCTCTAACCACATACCACGTTAACTAACTTAATTATCCTACCTAATGTTAGTAAATCAAGAAATTAAAAACCAAGATGTTACAAGAAGGATGGAGAAGCCTGATGTTCTTAGTGTTTAGGATAGATAGGCTACTGGACTAGCTGTGATAGTTTTGGTTATGATGGTGGCCTTATTGGTTTCTTTTAGGCTTATCTAAGAACAAGGTAAAACATCTTAAAAATCTTACCATAATCACTCTATATAGGATAGGTAGGTATTCGTCACAAATTGTTCATTGTGTTTGAAGTTTGAACAATATGATTGCCAGACATACCAGAGACATAAAGTTTTAGATATGAGCGCTCTTACCTTAGTTCACACTAATGTGAAGATACAAAGATAATGATGTGAAGATTGCTAGAATCGAAGTACAAAGAATAACAAAGTCTAGGTCTATGTGCATAATACATAGTGAATTTGAATTGAAAACTAATCAATGAATCTGCTATGTGTGTGGATTGTGTCCCCTAATTTTGTCAATTGAACCCCTTCTTATACTTGTACGCTCGAGACTATTGTGCCCAAAGAATAAGAAGCCTATATGTGAAATATTTGATATCACTAGGCAAGCACTAGTAAAGAAATTGTCATTTACAAGAGACTTTTAATAGCAGTTCAAAGGCAAACGCTGTAGAAAATAAAAGTAGTGGTATTTTTATAATATTAAATATGTCTGTTAGACTTTTAACAACGAGCAACAAAATACCAACTATTTAAAAAACTTATGACATCAGATGTTCTTGCAAAAATGAAAGACAATTAGATTATGGGATTTGTTTTCTTGGCCAGACAAATAATGGGATTCAAGTGTCAATCATGATCTCTATAAGGTCAAATATTAAAGTGTTGGCAATATAAATCATAAACTATAAGTTTAAAGGCAATTCAAACTTAGAATTCATGATTAATACATTTTGAAAATGAACATTAAATTTAGGGGCAATCTAACTTTACCATTAATTCTAATCAAACGTCCCTCATGTGCCCAAGAAATTCCCTTCCTTTATCTCCCACCTGTCGCCTTTCTTCGTTACTCTCATTGATAAAGCAAGTCTTGAATCTTATTCATTCGATTTAATTTTCAACAAAAAAGGATCTAGTCTAATGTAATTGTGCAATGGAATTAAACCTGTGTTATTTCCATAGCTTGCTGGTTCCACGCTGTCGCATATCTTCAACAAATTTAGAAGGTAGAGTTTCCATTTCTGGCAAGAACATACAGCTTATTCTTCAGACTACATTTGGGATGAGCCTTCAAGCGATTTGGCTGAAGAGTTTGCAACATTGAGCATGCACATGGTTGGGATAAGATTGAGCCTGTCCAATTCCAGCTACGGGCTTCAGATAAGCAGTACTAGAACAATATCCATTTGCTCAGCCAGAAAAAAGCCAAAATCAAAAAAAATGTCCATTATTTGGCTAACAGTCCGAAACAAGACAGAACAATTAGAACCCAAAATCCATATCTGTAAAGGGTCCTCCATTGGTCGGCCAGGAAAAATATTCTGCAAGAGATGAAGTGAGTTCAAGGTTGATCGGCCATTACTGAGTGTGAGAAACGAGGAAGGGGATCAGAAGGTGGAGGTTTTGGCCCTAGCCTACGCGCTCTGTGGGAACTTCCGGGAGGAAGAAGATGACTCGATGGGCGAGGTTCTTGTAATTAATGGCACTTCCAAGAGGAAGAAGACGACTTGACGGCTCTGGTCTATGCACCTCGCTCTCGTTGCTCTCCTTGACCGTTGAATGAGTTAGGAAATGGTAGAACAATGGAGCGGGTAAGGGTATGGAACATGTTTGACCCACATCAACCAATGGTTAAAAAAAAAAATAAAAGAAAAAAGAATTGTAACTTGTTCATCTTTAACAAGCATTTGTATTAATTTAATAATGGAGTAATATTGTCTCAAATTTAATTATTTAAAACTTAAAATATATCTATTATAAATTTAGAATTTAATTCGTCTCTAAATTTATAGTTTTTGTTTAATTTACCCTGTACTTTTTATATCAGTTTGTCAATTACTACTTTAAAAACTATAATTTTTTATAATAAATTTAAAGATGATATTTTTTAAAAATAAAAAATACTTGAAATTAATTAAATGACAACTATTTTATAATTTTAAAAATTAGATATGGACAGTTTAAAAAAAATTAGAGGGAGCAATTAATTAAAGTTGATTTGAGTGGTAGTATCACTCAAACAAATTGTTAAAGGTTTGAATATTAAAAAATTCTTACGTGGACTCAATGCACTATATCATTCATAATTTGTCTAATAAAAATAGGTCATATTAATATCAATTAAAGTTAATATGAGTAGTAGAGTTTTTATCACTTAAACAAATTGTTAAAGGTTTGAATGTTGAGAAATTCTTACATGAATTTGATGCACTATATTATTCATGGTTTGTCTAATAAAAACATGGCATGTTTTACCAATTTAATAAAATAAAATGTTTTATGATTATTTTTAATTACTTTATTTTTGGAATTTCATTTTTTGGTCTTGCCTCTTCCCAATTATCATCAATGAGAGAATAAATTTATAATTAAAACCAGATGAGATATCATATTTTTTTAGACAGATCATAAACAATGTAGCGCACTAGATCTATGTAAGAACTTTTCATGAATGTTAACTCTTGTATATGTAAGAATTTAATTGGGAGTGATCTATCATTTGTCACCAATACCTTGATAATTTTTACTGTGGGCAAAACATATTCCTTGAATTATGTGTTTTCCTTTCTTTGCACCCAAACCAAATAAATTATAGTCTCTTAGATTAATTAGATTTTATGTATTTTCATTTTATTTTTAGCATGGTTGACCTTTTGAGAGAGAGAGAGAGAGAGAGAGAGAGTATGATTGTGTGTATGTAGTTAAAAATTAAAATGATCCCTTGAAAAAAAAAAAAACGGAGGCATATGCTGCAGTCAGTGTTTAAGTAGGTGTACATCTAGTTTCTTGCACAATGTGATTGGAAGCCCTTTGTATTATAAAAGTATTAAGCATCCAATAGCTTTACAACAATTTATGTGAATAGCTAATTTTTTGAAAGAAAATTAATCCCAATAAAATAAAAAAACTCAAATAATAGAAAAATATGAGATCCAACTTGAACAAAAAAAAATTGATATAAATGTTTTATACCCAATGCTGACTAATCTGTGTTTAATTATTGTTATGCTCAAGTATGAGGTAGCTCTCAATTTGAACAAAATATTTTACAATAAATTACTCTCTCGATCTTATTAAGTCCATTCTATTCAATTCATCCAAAAAAAAAAAATCTCTCCCATTTTAAAGCAATAAAAATAAGATATCCTTAACTAGCATAAACTTAAGGAAAACTCATTCATTTTTCTTTTTGGGTTTTGTAAAACATATACCCTGTCATTTGACAAACTCGGTTGGGATTGACAATTTTCAAATACATATCACTAAAAAGTTCTTATTCAATCACCGAGTACAAGTCAACGAACAACTTATAAATGAGCCAGAAAATCTAAAGAGTTGAGAAATAGAATCGGTCCCGTTCGATTCATTAAGTCCACCTCATTCTAAAAGCTACGGCCATATGAATGCCATGTGAACTTGGCCCAACACAGAATATTTTAAGCCTGAAAATTGGCTTCACAAGCTAGAGCGCGCGCGCTTGATTTCTGATGAGCATCAATTAGTCCTTATATTCATTCTCCAAAGAAATAAATACGCTATTAGCCGATACGTAATAATCATGATTATCATAGCACCAACTTCCAGTTCTCTCCCGAATTTAGTTTCACTATTTTCCACTAAAGTAGATTCACTGCAACCTGATGCAGAAGTTGAACCCACACAGCCATACTGAATTTTCAAAAGCAACCTGTAAGTGTGGTAGTTGAAAGACACGTAGCGCACCCATGACATAAACCTTGGGACTTGCTGCAATCACAAATACATAAGCGCTAATCAATTTGCACGCTAGAGTAAAATAATCAATGACTACAATTCTTGTGTTCTTATTAGAGATTTTCCAAAAAGCCAGGTCATCATTTTCTTGAGCTTTGGTTTTCCATATTGGTTAAACTAAGTTGAGGTGGCATGTTTAGAATGACCATGGAGATTTGAGAGATCTTACTACAGATAGAATATATATATATATATGCACACACATATAAATAAAGTCTTATTACTTGGCTAAAGAATCCACCAGTTAGCATGAAGGTCATGACCACGATTGAGGCTAGAGTAGTAGCTTTCTTCACATCTAGAAATGCTGCGCTTATGGTTTGTCCCAGACCCTGCACTTATGGGGCAAAAAATGCTTTCAGACCATCTTCAAATTATACTTCACAGGGGGGTAATTGGCACGCACGGGGTTAAAAAATTACCTGAGCCGCTAGAACACTCACAAAAATTGTGAGGATGGTGAGAAAAAATGCAGAGAATTGTAGCTTCAAGCCGACCATGAAATACACAATCACCATGAACACTAGAGGCATTAGAAGCTCCATTGGAACATCACTGGTGTTTTTAGCTAAGAAGTAGGCACTTAGTTTATACATGTCAATCGATCTCTCTTTCACCAGCATTGCTCTTTCTTGTGGGAACATGAAGATGGCACTAAACAGAGGATAGAAGCCCCAGAACACTGAAAGAAAGAACAGCAGCCCTGCCTGCTTGACATGTAAATAAGTGTATTTAGGACAATCTATGTTCTCATGATTTAAGTAAATAGTTAGAGCTTGCCTGATCATGGAGACTCCTGGAAGAAGAAGCACCAGAGTGCCACCAAAGTAGTCCAACAATTATTGCAGTTGATATTACTTGAGTTACGCGCAAACAGCTGAAGTACTCATGACGCCTCTGCCTAATGCCCCTCATGAAGAGAATGCAAAATTGTTGAGACCAAGTTGCTCCAAAGTCCCTCAGGAATGGACTGCCTTGCATCCCACTCTGATCTCCCTTTATTGTCACAGGTTCGAGAAGCATTGCTTTCTCTCTTTTTGCAAGCCTTATTTCGTAGGACTTGACAAGAAACTGCAGGAGGAACAAGTCATGTTTTAGCATTTTGTTGTACAGTATTGTTTTGATTTGATCCATAGGAAAACTCAAAATTTGAGTGACGTGGTTGACCTCGTGGACTTCAACTGGGGAGGGTGTCTTGTTTTTTAGGTCGAGTGTTTTGATTCCATAATGGAACTTATCCTCAAGTTCTGAAGGGACAGATTTCTCTTTCATGTTGCCATTTGCAAGGTCAATGAGGAATTCTGCAGGGTTCATGGCTATCAATGGAGAACAACCAATAGAGGAGAAATACATCATTGCATCAGATGCTTTTCCAAAGTACAAGGTGCTGCCTTTTCCCAACAGAATCAACTTGTCAAACATGCTGAACAGCTTACTTGACGGCTGGTGTATTGTTGTCACCACTGTCTTTCCCTCCTAACCAAACAAAATCAAGAAAGAAGATTATTGTTTCATTCAATTCCATCAAGAAAAGAAATAATCAAAGAATAGATGAGAGATATACAGTACTTTAGAGATGTTTTGAAGGATCTGAACAATTCGTGATGCTGTGGTTGAATCTAGACCAGATGTTGGTTCATCTAAGAACAAGAGTGATGGGTTGAGTAGGATTTCTGTACCAATGCAGACCCTTTTTCTCTCACCCCCAGAAACCCCTCTAATAAAATTGCCGCCAATTGCTGTATCTTGGCATCTGAAATCGCATGTTTAATACTTAACTGTCATATCTTATATAAAGGATCTAATAATCTGAGACTCTTGAGTAAAAGGTGGGGAAAGATAATACCTTTCGAGGCATAGTTCACTTAAAACATTCATAACCCTCTCTTTTTTCTGTGTTATTGAGAGATCCTTCGAGAGACGAAGCAAAGCTACATATGTGAGAGTTTCCTTGACTGTAAGATGAGGGAACACGACATCGTCTTGCGTTACATATCCAATCCTGTGTAAAATACACAATATGCAATGTATTGAGCGCTAACAGCTTTTTCAGTTGCTAAGTTATGTTCTCAGATGCGCATGCCTTTATCAATTATACCTCTTCTTTAGTGATTTGGTATATGGTCTGTCATTGTAAGTGATGGAACCACTGTTAAACCTGGTCCTTCCGCTCAAGATATTAAGTAGTGTTGTTTTACCACCTCCTGATGGTCCCATTAAAGCAAGAATCTCTCCTGGGCGTACCGAACCAGTAATACCATGCAGAATGTATTTGCCTTCTCCTGAAGACTTCTCACCTCTCAACGGCACGTTGTATTTCACATCTTCAAACTGCATGACAATGGAACCAATATAGATGACACGTATATAGGATGGAGGGTAAGAGCAAACAATAAACATTTTCATTATTCATCACCTTGAGATGTATTGGCAAGGTTGGTTCCATTTGCATTCTTGTCCACTGGCATGATTCTGATCCCTCCTCTGCAGAAACATCAGATGCTCCATCTTCTGAAAAACAGAAGAAATCAAGAACAACTCATTGTATGATGATTCTCACTGAACTGGAAGTTTAATGTTCACGATTTGTTGTGGAGATTAGTGGTTCTAAATAAGTAAATAACGGTTGCTTACCGCACTTTGGACCTGGCAGTTTCAAGACATCTGAGAGTTCCTGTGAGAGCGAGGTGGGTGCAGTGAATGAAAGGGAATATCTTAATTCCTTGATAGAGGAACCATTAACGTTGGAATCCATCTGATGAAAGCTTCCTGCAGCATTATTGATGAGGCCATCGACGTTGATCAAGAATTGAGCATTCAGTGATTTAGTTTTGCGAATGACAGTTCCACCACGCGAGGTCTCCACTCTCTTGTCGAAGCTGAAACTGTGAGCTGGAACATCCTCATTTTCTCGAGTTTGAGAAATGTGAGAACTTCTACATCCAAACTTCCCATGAGGCACGAAAGGAGCATCGAAACTGCTCAATGTCAGCTCTCGCTTCTCCATTTTTTGTGCAAGATGCACTGTAAGTTAGAACACACAAATCCATCACTGGTCAGCGCAAATTAGATAAAATATATTTGAGCTTCTGTTGCCTTTGTTCCTAGAACTACAATAAACAATTAAGAATGCCTAACAAGCAAAGTAATAAGGATATACGAAAACAGTTTCAAGAATTTTGAAGGGGCTACATGAGAAACGTACTTAAAGGAATGCAGGACAACCGTGCAATTTGCAAGGCATGTAATGTCCTGAATATACACACATATATATAGGCCTTTTAAATTGGCGACTTTACCACTTGTCAAAGGCGTTGAATAGTGATAATGATTAATATCAATATATTATGAAATATAATTTGGTTCACTTTATAAATCATTAATTAATATAATTATTTTGTTTTAAATTAAAATTTTTAAACTATCCTTGAGAAGTAAGAGAAAAAAAAACAAAATAAATAATATTATATTATTTATTTATTTTTTATTTTTTATTTGAAAATTACATTTAAAATTTCATTTATTTTTATTTTCTGTATATTTATTGTATTGGTATTAATAAGATTGATAAAATTAAATTACAAATAACACTGGAAGGAGTAAAATCTGCGCCGCTATTATAAATTACGGACTCATTTCTCATATTCATATAGTACAGCTGTGTCTTGCCTGTGTTAATTAAAAAGGACAACGGGGATTGGCTTAGTGTTCTGTCTTTCTTTCTTTTCTCGTTTCTTCTCTCTCCCTTACCAGCGCTTGGCTGCCAAAAGATATTTTTTGTTCTCTTGTCGTCTTCGAGTCCTTTGCCGCCGCTCCTGAAAACAAGAAGCTTTTATGCAGAGAGATTTCATGTAACAATAAGAAAGAAAGAAAGAAAGAAGGACAAAAGGAAAGAAAGGAAAAAGGATACTTGTACGTATGCAATTACTCGATTTAACGTTTACCGATAGACTTCCATATTTCCTTTGGATTCAGTACCACCAAAAGAAAAGGCGGTGCCCAAGATGTGAGGGCAATACCAGAATTAGAGTTTTTTTTTTTTTTCATGAGGACTCAAAGTGGCTGAGGCATACAGAAACCGCAATACCCGCATACAGCTTTATATTGTTCTTTTCTGCATCACCATTGGCATATTGCGAGCTTCATGAACTTACCCAACCTTAATAACAATAAAAAATTCGAACTAATTAAGGTTGCAGTGTTAGCTAGGTAAAATGGTGAATGAAACCATTCTATGGTCTTGTAGAATGGCTGAGGCTAAAACAGAGTGTTCTGAACAGAGGAAGTTGTTTCGGTCACAATACAATCTTAGTAAACCCATGATTTGCCAAATGAATTCCGCCTCATTTGTCCGATCAACCTGCGACTGATTTCATGAACTGTTGTTAGGTGTTGAATATGAATCAGAGGCTTAGAAGTAGGTAGCGAGGAGGAACAAGATTGATTCCACGTGCAGCTCTTGCACAGGATTGAGAACGAATGGCTGTGACCAGAAAACATAGTTGATAGAGGCATGAACAGGAAACAGTGACATGCAGCCAACTTCCTGTACTGTACGAAGAAGATGACCAGAGCATATTGTAGCCAAGGCTTATAAAGTATGATAGCAAACTAGCCTGATATCGTCAGGCACAACACGTGAACGAGCAATCCACCTCGAGAAAAGTCTTTAGAATACACAAGCGAAGCGGCAAAGGATGGGAAACGGCCCGTTTCTAGTTAGCTGGGCCTGGAGAGAAGTGAGTTCATTGTGAGAATTGACTCATCAGGGAGTACGAGCTAGCTAAGAGAATGGACAGCATTGAGTGGGAAGTCTTTTTCACGAACGTGAGTGAAGCTGATCGATAACGGGTACAGTATCGAAGTACGTGAGGGGAAACATGTGCTTCAAGAGTGTTCGATGGCATGTGATGCAAGAGTTCCAACATGGACGTGCTTTTTCATGGCCACCATTCTTCCACCGGCCGTCACTGCCAAACTCGCCCGAGTTTCCTTGCTCATTAAATTATTTGTTACTATTTATTGATATTGATACTACGCTTGAGTAACGTTATGTCCCCTCAAACCCACCATTGCCACCAATCCATGTTCCTTCCTTGCCGCCGATTTTTTCTTCTTATTCTTTATTTTTTTTGGCCTGAAATTATTCACTATTTGTTAAAAGCAATTGTTTTTTTTTTTTTATAAATGCTTCGAGTGACAAAGCTTTAGGAGAAGCGACGGAGCCACCGCGGTTTGTCAGGAGACTGTGGTAATATTTTTATAACCCAAATCCAAGGTGTTAATTGAGAGATGTTGGGTCAATCATTTTTAACTGATGGGAAAGGTGCAGTGATTAGACTGGGATTAGTGACGGGGTGGTTTCAGGGAGGGGCCCATTGGGGCGTTGCGAGGTCCAACCCAGGTCATGCTTTTGGACACAGACCCATTGCTTTACTTTGACCCTTTTATGGGCTTTACTTTTTTCAACCATTCACCTAATCATATTCTTCTTTCAATTTTCTTCCTTTCTCATTTGATTTACTACCAGTGTTAATTGACCGGCGCTTAATCTCAAGAACAATATGTTAAAGATTTTGAATTTCTTGTTGATATTATTAGAATTTTTTATTATTTCTAATCTATATTGTCCCTGTTTAGTGTTTACTGATCAAAAGATTGTCTTGAATTTTTTAAAATGTTTGCTTTTCCTAAAAACACAAAAATATTTTTTGTCCTGGGTCTTGGGATGGACTTCGCTCTAGAAAAAAACTTATTTCGGTCAGCCCCTCAAGCGACCATGTCCAGATCCTGTGGCAAAGCCGTAAAGCTATTGAAAATTTTTTCACATTTTTAAATCAAATAATAGAAGTTAAAGCGTTTCGGACAAAATCTCATAGTAACAGTGTATAAAATTTCCAAAAAAAAAAAAAAAGGCAAGGGAAGAAACAAAGAAAGATGTCAATTTTATATGTTGCACCTAAAATTGTAGTAGAAATGTATGTAGTAGTGATGGTTCCTATTTCATGGTTAATAAGAAAGGCATGCAATTTTAGTGTGCGTTTGATTTTTAATTTATCAAAAGTTTATTTAATAAAAGTCCATTTGATAAAAATTAATTTAATAAAAGTTAGTTGTTATAATAAAATTTATATTTGAATATATTTTTTTAAAAGTCAATTTAATACACTAAAAATTGTTTAATTTGTGATAGTGAAATATGCTTTTGAATGTATAATTATTAAAAAATATTAATTTATAATAATTTATAATTTTTATTATACAAATGTAATATATTTAAAATATTTAAAAAAATATGATAAAGATTTTAAATAACATAAATTTTAATCTATAATGTTAAAAATTTGATCTCTAGTTATTTATATTTTTTTAATTTATAATTTTAGAAAATATGATAACAATTTGTAATTTTTATTATACATTAATGCTAAAAACTAACATTATTAATTATTTAATTTATAATGCTAAAAAATTGATACCTAATTATTATTATTGAAATAATAATTATATTTTTAATGAATTAACTATTTTTTAAATAAAAAAATAAGTGATTAAACTTGGGATAATATGATCAAATAATATCTTACTTTTCAAATTTACTTTTCAAAAATTTTAAATATTTACGTTTTAAAAATTTACTTTAACTATTTTTTAAATAAAAGAATAAGAGATTAAACTTGGGATAGTATGGTCAAATAATATCTTACTTTTGAAATTTACTTTTCAAAAATTTTAAATATTTATATTTTAAAAATTTACTTTAATGTATTTTTAAGATATATTTTTTTTTATAAAATATTTTACATAAATAATTTTTAACTTTCTGAAAGTAAAATTTTATTTTCTGAATGTGAAATAAAAGAAAACTAAATGGGCTTTAGAGTTTGAGAAACAAGTTTTGTGATTGTGTCGATGTTGAATGCGTAGGAATTAGGTAGGCAGAACAAGAGAATTGACTAGTTGAAGAAGATGGAAGTGACCGTCAGTATAATTAATTCGTTTGTAATTCCTCGTGTTAATTAGGTTTCACTTTTGAAAAGAAAAGAGCCGTCAGAAAAGTATTTTGAAAGCAAAGAAGGTCGTGAAATGTGAATACAGAAGTGAAAGGTACGCATGTGTGTGGTTATTTCTTGACGCACAGTTGACATGTTCAATGAGAGTAAAAGGGGTAGTTCAGACTTCAGAGGCTGCCCAAGATGGTATTGGTTGGGACTTACTGGGACTAGCTAGCCAAGTCATAACTAACTTAGCTAATTACAGTATTAAACACACTGCCCCACAATCAATTACTAGTACTGTTCTTTACAATTAGTTGCTATCCTTATTGGAACGTGCTCTTAATATTTTCACATCTCTTAAAAAAGTTGTTATATTGTTAAATTTGCCCAAAAAAACATTAATTATGTACTCTTACATAATATACGATATTAAGAACTAAAAAAATCTTCTGGAAATACCTTATAATAAGAATCTGATTAAGAAGTACAAAGCACTCATACAAATTAAATGGCTACAACTTAATATAAGAAACAATTTGCTTTGATTTTTTGTTATATGTAAATATAAGGAATATCACGAAGTTCAGTGAATATTCACGACTATATTTTTTTTTTTTGAAAAAATTCCCCAAGTAGAAATCTTAATTATTCCCCCATCCCAATTTATAAAATATTTATTAAATTATATGTTATATAAACTTTTAAAAATGTTCTTTATTTAATACTCATTGTGAATGAATATTAAAGAGAGATAATATAATAGAAAAAGTATTATTAATGAAATATTATTTTTATCAAAATGTCTTATATTTCAAGATATTAAATATTTTATAAAAGTATCTTATAAATTGTGATGGAGGTAATATAATCCAAACATGAACCTTTTAATAATCTCAAACATGTCATGCAACTTTAATTATTAAAAAAACTGCTAACATAATATAATCCAAATTATAATAAAAATTAATTTATTTTCCAATCATGTTTGCATTTTCATACTTATCACTAGTTCCACGCCCTAATTTATAATCCGAATCCTCCACAATTGGGAGTGGAATAATCATAACTTGATTATAAGGATCTGAAATTGAAAAACATATATAATAAAAAGTTTACATAAATTTGGAGGGTAAAAATGTATAACACTGGGTATATGATACTTACAAAAAATTGAAAACTAACGTGTGTCAGGATTTAAATTAATTGATTGATTTAATTAATTAATTGGATTAATTAAGAGTTAATAAGTGAGTTAGGATGGCCGTTTAAACTTATTAGATCCTCTAAGATTAAAAATAAGGCTCAAAGGGTTTTTGGACAAAAAATTGGGCTTAACTTGAGCGGCTCATTTTTGGTTGTTCGCTGTGGCAAGCGCATTAAAATTTTAAATTGTAGAGACACAATCAATTTTAATGTTTTGGGAGAACTTTGAGGTTTTTGACCAAGAGTAAGTTGAAAGGTCTGTTATGGTTAGGGTTTGTAGGTGTTTGGAGCCATCCTTGAGTTTGTAACACCTTAAATAAGTCTCCTTCTCTCTTATTCTCCCTTGCCATGTATTTTTCAACTAGTCACTAGACTTGGGGAGCTTTTATCCAAATCTAAACCCATTGGTCAGCCACTCCTATGGCTTAAATAAAGTTTAGTGTTACTATCATTAGTTTTTGGTAGTTGGTAGTTTTTAATGTCATTTATAAGAGGTTTAAAGTAAACCTTAATATGAAATAATCAAGTTTAGGCTAATAGGGGTTAATGGTAGTGATTATTAAGCTTGATGGAATTAAATAAACCAATGAGAGTTAGTTTTAGATCTAGATATGATTGATCATACTTAATAGAGGATTAAGTCTTAATTGTAATTGAGGGTTAATTAGTGATGGCTAATTATGGCTGTAGATTGATTGTGCTTGGAGTGTACATTTAGAGTAGCTCTCTCAAGAAATCCAAACTTAGCTCTTAAGGTGGTAGCCTAAGAGTGGAAGTACTTGAGAACCTTATAAACTACGAGTTGGCCTTTGTGCCATATGCCATAGTGAACATACTTTCAGCTGTGTCAAGTGAGTAACTGTGAGATGGCCATGGTGAGGGTGTATTGCACTATAACAAGTGGGTCAATGCTCAATTGGTTATGGTGAAGGGACTCTTGGTTGCGACAAGCTAGTCTAATCTTTTAAGGTGACTATTTTACCTGTTTCATTCCTTTCTTAATGCTATGTTTGATATTTCCATATTTTCAATTTCTTTGACTTTAGAAAGCATCCTATTTAATCTTTAATGATTCTTTAGGATCCCAATTTCTATTTGTTATTTACACTACAATAGAATAAGCTAAATATGACGGCTTATATTTGACGGTTATAAGTGAAAAATGACAAATAAAAAAGGCGCTAAATACTTGACGGTTGTTTCAAAACAATCGTCAAGTATTTAGTATATATTTGACGGTTATATTAGCATAACCGTCAAATATATATGCATCCCAGATTTGATTTTTTTATAAATATATTTGACGCTTGTTTTACAATAACCGTCAAGTATATTTCGGAAGACTTGATGGTTATTTGTAAAAAAGCGTCAAATATATAGTTCAAAAGGAAAAATAAAAAAAGTTAATTACTTGACGCTTGTTTACTAATAACTGTCAAGTATGTCTGAGTTTTATTTGACGGTTATTTAATAACAAGTGTCAAGTAATGAATACTTGACGGTTATTATGAAATAACCGTCAAGTATTGCCTTTTAAATTTACGCTCCAGAACTTTTCATTTTCACATTTCTGCAACTCGAACGTTTTCGAAAATACACCCAGAGTGCTCGGAAATCATTTTCCATCACTAAAACTGCCCAAAAACACAGATTTAGACTCGATTCTTCTTGGGTTTTACTCGTGGGTTCCATTTTTTAGGGTTTGTGGGTTGTTCGTTCATCCAAGTCTTCATTTCGGGCATTTTGGGTTCGTTCTCCATCTTCCATATGTGAGTTTAATTTCTTCTTCATCTGTTTAATTCATTTTTAGGTTTAGTGTTTAGGGTAAATCTGACTTCAAATTCCCCTACTTGCTTCTCAACAGTGCAAAACGCGAGTTGTCTTCTTTCCTCCTTCCCCTGCTCTTCTTCTTCGTCCTCGTGCTCTGCCTCTCTTAAGTAAGTTGGCATATCCTTCTTCCTTGTGATATTGTTGTCAATTGATTGTAATTAGAAAGTTGATTGGAATTAGCAATTGGAATATGAATTTTTTGTTCATTAGAACTACGATTTGTGATTGAATGTATATAGGCTTTTGTTTTCAGTTCTTTGTTAGTTTTGAAATTAAATTTAAGATTATATGAAAATTAATTTACTGTTGGGTATTTTATGAATTTGTTGAAAATTTGCTTCCCTTATTGTGATGATGGTGATTAATTTTGTTGTTGGATAACTTGATTAGATATGATTGAGTTATATTAAATTTATAGGACAAAATAGATTGTTGGGATAAAATTTTTATATCAATTATTGTTGGGTAACTTGATTGAGTATAATTAAGTTATATGAGAACTTGAATGATAAAACTTTTTGTTTAAGTTGATTAATTGTGTTCTTTTTATTTAAGTTAATTAATGTTTGAATTAATTGTCTGCATTTTGTTTAAGTTGATTAATTGTGTTCTTTTTATTTAAGTTGATTAATGTTTGAATTAATTATGTGAATTTTGTTTAAGTTATTTAATGTTTGATTTAATTGTCTTCCTTTACAGATAAATGGCTTCTGATAGCGAGTCTGTTGATATCCCTCCATCAATTCTAGCTACAAATCCGACTGAGGTTTCGAGTACATAGAAAAAGCTAGAGCAGGAGTACAATAACATTCAACGAGGCCTAACAATAATGGAAGAGGTGACAAAAACAACAGCTGCAGGAAAAAAAATTGATGTGCAATGGAACAAGAAAGGGCAAGCAATTAAATCCTCAAAATTCATAAGTTATATTGGGGTGGTGGCAAAGACTACTGTGCCTATCACAGTAAAATCATGGCGCAAAGTAGATGAGGCCACGAAGGCTCTTATTTGGGATACTGTAGCAGTAAGTTACATTTTACTAAGTATATTTTGGTATAAACTATTTTTAAAATTAATGCATATGATATGTTGTTTATTTTATTTTGTAGTCAAGATTTGACATTGATGAGAGTAGGCAAGATTTTGTCCTACAAAAGACTAGGAGGGCACTACGGTCTTTTAGATATTTTGTCACACAGAAATATTTGAAAGATCCTGATGCTGAATTTGTAGCTCGAGTTCCTCCCTTATTATAGCCTTTGGTAAAACAAAAGGATTGGGATGCTTTTGTTACCTCACGGCGTGAGAAGGAATTCAAGGTATTAATATTTCTTAAATTTCAAGTTTGGTGTTATTTATTGATTATATGTGTATGTACTAACAAAAATTTTTGTTATTAACTCGTCAAGGAATTAAGTACACAGAATAAGGAGAGAGTAGCGAAGAACGAATATCCTTATAGAGCAAGAAGGTTAGGGTATGCAGGCATTGAGCAGAAACAATTAGAGGAGGAGGGATCAGAGGTTATCATATCCCACCATAAGCTCTGGGCATTGGCACGCACTAATAAAGAAGGAATTATTGACAAGCCCCGCGTGAAAGAGGTTACTGAAAAGATTGTAAGTATTATATTTATCTACTACTTAATAATTAATTATGAATATCCAAACTAAACATATTTACTCTACACAGGATTCCATCTCTTAGGAAGTCTCACAGGGCAACCTTCCTGAGGATGAAGATATCTTGGCTAGGGCGTTGGGAACTGCTGACCACCCTGGTCGTGTCAGGGGTGTTGGCTTCGAAGTCACGACGAAGCAATATTTTGGCAAGATAAAAAAGTGAACATCAGCTTCTTCGTTTGAGGTCCAAGAGCTGAGAGAAGAGCAAGCCGTTATGAAGCAACAACTACTAGCCCAGGCAGCATTAATTGACATGTTGTTGAAAGGGCAAGTCCTTAGGAGGACTTTGGGTGAGATTAGCCCTAGTCAGAAAGATAGCTGCACAGTCCCCTCAGAAAAACTACCTGAGGTAATATGTTTTACCTTATGAATTTGTCTAATTATTTTTATTTTAGAAACTGATTGTCATTGTTTGTTTAATTAGGGCGAGAACGATTGCAATTGTTTGGCAGACACTCCTGAACATAGAGTAGTTGCAACAGGGCGTGTGTACAACATTCTCGGGGACACAATCCATAATCATCCCCACTCGCCCGACTGTGTTAGAGTTTCTTTACTTGTTGCCATCGACCCCAACTATCCATTGCCTGTTCCTACTGATGAGGCACAGACGGTAGGGGAAGCAGTAGGGAGCTTCGTTGCATGGCCTAGCCACCTTGTAATAGTGGTAACACCAAAGCCGGCAAAGGACCCATTGCCTCTAAAGAAAAAGGTACAGTTTAAATAATTATTTATAATTTTATAATATAATTATAAATATCTAACTTTTTTGTTGTGCAGCTGAAAGGGAAGAGCAAGCTAAAAGGTAAGTCAGGCCATACCAAAGAGTCAGCCACAGTTTCGCAATATCCAGCAGCACCGGTGCTAACTGTAGAATACAAATACCGTGCCTCTCTTGAGACATATGCGATGGCTACGAGGATGGCTCGTCAAGTTACGATTGGGGATATCATTAGTTTTGATGATGGGCTGTATAGAAGACCGGGCTTGTTTGAAGTTGTTCGGGATGAAATTTTAAATGAAATTCTCAAGCACGAAATGGCCAGTACTAGTCTGATGAGCTTCTACATGAGGTATTTCTTCGATAATGCTCAGTTAATTACTTAAATTATATATATGTATGTGTGCACGTGTGTGTACTAACCTGGTTTTTTTTACTTAAGCCACCTTTATACCTCATTTGTGATTCCTGGCAGCCTTGAGTCGAGATTCAAGCTGATTAATCCCCACGATGTCTCTGCCTATAATGGAATTATAAAGGAAGCTCTTGAAGATTAAGCAAGGTAGCTTTCAAATCAATTTAAGGATAGGGGAGCAAGCAATGATACTTTATTTCTTGCTCCTTACTGTCAAGGGTAAGCCACTTTCTAGCTACTTTTGGTACAAGTAAATATTTTTTATATTTACTTATTTGATAACACTTGTTATTTCTTATTAGAGGGCACTGGATGCTTATTGTGGTTAACCCTGTTGCTTCAAAAATTTGGTATCTTGATCCTCTTAACGGAGAACCAAGCAATAGGCCAGATATGGTAGAACTTTTTAATAAGTAAGTTAAATTTTTATTAATTATTATTTTAATATCCATATATATTAAATTTCTAACATTTATTCTTTATTTCCTTCTTAGAGCTGTGGTCTTGTATCGAACTGCGACCAACAAGACCTTGTCCCCTAGCTTAAGGGTATTGGACTCTTGTGAGACATAGGTCACAGTTAAGGTAAACCAAATGGACTGAGTTTTTAATTAACAAACCATGGCCTTTTAACTATTATTTTATTGATATGTAATAATTTTTTGCACAGTGTCCACTCCAGCCAGATCAGAGCAATGACTGTGGCTATTGCTTGATGAGATTCTTGAAGGACATTATCACCCATGCCCCTACCACATTACCTAACAAGGTATATATTAAATATAATGATACCTAAATTATAAATTTTAACAACTTTTGTTAGATAGCTATTAACTTGAATTTGTTGTAACTCTTTGCATACAGTACTTTGAGGATGCCTACTATATTCAGTATGCAGCTGCACATATAGAGGAAACCCTTGAAGAGGTAGCTTAGGCTGTGTTTAACATGTGGATAGCAGCAGTGGTTAGGCCTAATTAGTTTTAGTGTACACATTTATTTTTTTGGTCAATTTTATGTCTGAGGCCAATTAATTTTGAAATTTAAACTTGTAAAGTAGGTAAAGTTATAGATTTTTTTATGGCATTGGGTTTAGAGTATAGGTAGATATAAGATAAATTAAAGATATTTAGATTGTAATTTCAATATAAATAATGATTCAATTATTTTTTATTGTTGGCTGGCTGGTATATATATTTGATTACTTTGTATTTGTAGGGAGGCTGCTTAAAAAGTAGCCCCCAGCTTTTAAAAAAACACATCATAAATACTTGACGGTTATTTAGAAAGAAACGTCAAGTATAAGTTTACTTGACGGTTACTTCAAAATAACCGTCAAGTATTTGGCACACAGAATTTACAAAAGCATATTTGACGCTTGTTATAAAATAACCGTCAAATATTACTAAATACTTGACGGTTATTTAAAATAACCGTTAAGTATATTGCTGCAGTATATGCAAATGTTTAAGTAATTATTTGATAGTTATTTTGAAATAACCGTCAAGTAATCTCTAAAATATTTAACGGTTTTTAACCGTCAAATAAATATATGGCGCCTCATTACTTGACGGTTAAAAACCGTCAAATAATTTCTAAAATAACCGTCAAGTAAGGGGGCATTTTGTAGTAGTGTTAACAAATGTTTTAAACATTAAAGTCATGTTTGATCCTTTTATTTAAAGGTGTTGGTTAGTGGAGTTATTTAAAGCCTAAAGGTTAATGATGGAGGTCATTACATTTTGTATGACTACTCCCAACTCCTCCTCTCTCTCCATGAGATATGGTTTGATAGAAAAAAGTGATTTTTTATTTAGGCCCATTTGGATTTTAATTGGATATAATTGATTATGAAAATAATTGATTAATATGATTGATTTTAATTATAATTAATTATGTTATAATACAATCTGTTTTAAAATTAATTTTAATATAATTGAAGATGTTTAGATACTTTAACTAGAATTAGTTATAAATATATAAATTACCATAAAGGACATTAATTTTGAAAATTTAAATATTGATAAAGTTGTGTATATCATTAAAGTTGTTCAATTTTATTTAATAAATAAAATATACTATTTAACTGATATACCTAATTAATTATATAAATGTAAATTATATTAATATTAATAATTTAATGTATGTAAAAATAAATCTATAAATGTAATATCTATTTAATATTTATTATTTAATATAAATATATTATATTTTTTAAAGTTATAGCTGGAGGTTATATATATATATATATATATAAAAAGTCGTAGATAGAGCCTGGAGTTCGCACACATTTTGCAAGAAGAAAAGTAATGTTGTACAGGAGGTATTAGAAGTTTAAAAGAAAATAAAAATAAAAGGCATTTGCATAGTGAGTTGACAGTGAGTCATACAAGGATATACTCCTCGATTCAATATATAAGTTACCTTTTAAAAATATAATTTAAATTATTTTATAAGTTATTTATTGATGAGATTGTTTTGTTTCAAATTAAAATTTTTAAAATATCCTTTAAAAATAAGAAAGAGAAAGACAAAAAAAAATAATATTATACGATTGACTTACTTTTTGTTTTTTATTTGAGGGTTATGTTTAAAATTTTACTTACTTTTATTCTTTATATTTTTATTGTATTGGTATTGATAAGATTAATAAAAATAATTTATAAATAAAATTAAAAGAAGTATATGGTATCTAAAAGATTTCTGACATGCCATTAAAGCTGAATGTGGAGAATAGATTCACGGAAACTAGAGAGATGAGCTTTTTTAAAAACACAATTAAAGGTACAAAATGTGGTAATCAATTTCTTAGGGTGTTTGGGCTTTTTCTAGCAAAACCATGGTTTAGACTTTCATAATCGATTTTTTTTATATCTAAACAGGCAGTTAATTTATGTTAATTTGTACTTGGACATTTTTGTTAATATTTAAGCACAGAATAACAAAATTTGTAAGCTGACCGAACTTATGATCTCTCGCGCACTTTTGGTTCGCATGCAACGCAAACTAACCATAAATCAATCTTTCGGTACACTTCTAACTTTTTTTTAAAAAAAAAAAAAGAATAAAATTGAACTTGTGGGGCCACACATGTAAATAAAGAAGGTTCCAATATTTACAATTTGGAAGATCACAGTGCTAATCTACCAACCCATTAAATCCCGTGACGCTTTTAAATACAGGTTTACGTATGCTTTTACTTAATTTTTTTTATTTCTCTGAATTGATTTGGGACTATATTTAAGCCCGAGAATTTGGTTCCAATCATTTCTATGATTTGAATATGAATTGGATTGACCAGGAACAATCGATTCCAACAATTTTTGGATTGGGTATACATGCTTCTACCCAAAAATATATATATATATATATATATATATCTGAGTTCCAAATAATTTTCTTAACGTTTTTCAAGAGTGTTCCGATCCACATTTTTCTTCAAGAGGTGAAAGTAAACAAACAGGAAAAATGACCGGACGCCAGTGGTGTTGAAGCTAGCTAGCTAGCTGCTGTGTTGACGCATGGAGGAAGCATCATCTAGAAAAGTAGGAAATGAATAAAATTCATGTCAAGTCGCAACCTACTTTTACTTGCCTAGGCCCCATGCATGGATCTTCCATTCATGAAAATATATAAACTAATAATTAATTAATGAACGAAGTGGGTAATTTGAAATATAATGTGAAAGTGAAAGCAAAGTGCAAGTCTCTGAATGAACGTTGCGGAAGATAAGTAGCTGGATTTAGATGAAGCCGTCAATTGAGACTTCACGTTCTGGAGCCCCTTCCCACAAAAGCCTTCTAGATATATAACTTACAATTCATGACCATCAAAAGCAAATTTAACAACAATCCAACAAGGATACAAGAAGACGGAAGATCTCACTTTTTGTACCCTTTGTCCCCTTCTCTTTACAAGCCGTGTACTACTTTCATTTCTTTTCTCCTGTAATTTTGACACACCTCTTTATAATATGAAAAACAAAAACAAAAACAAATTACGTCTAAAGATAGCATACAAAAATTTTAAAGGGCCATAATTCTATTACAAATGGACGAAATTTCATTATAATAAAAATGATAAAACTTTCTTCTGAATTTTAGAATATGGGTAATATTTTTTATATGTGATGGTTAATTAATAATCTTAAAAAAACTTAAAATTCGAAAAATTTTAACATCAATTTTCTATGTTGCATGTGTATGGTTATACACGCTACAAGCTTCATAATTATAACTATATACTAATAAAAACTACATAGATCCGTGTTATTTATAAATCATGGTGAATAATAATAATAATATGAATTCAATGCAAAACACACTGCGTACCCGTGTTATAGACAACATCAGAGTGACGGCATGCCTAATTGAAGCAGGTAATAATTTTAAATTTTGCCAATGCCTTTGTAACCTAATGATATGTAAGCTTTCATATAAATGGGAGGTTGTGGATTCAATCTTGCCTGTAATCTAAGACTGTTAATGCCTATGCTTGTACGTGACATTTTCAAGGGAAAAATATTGTTGCAGGTATTTATTTTCATCCATTCATGACCAAATATAGTCCTTTAGGTGTAATTTTTCCTGATAATTTTGCTTGATTATATATGCTGGCCTAGCTGCACCAAGTCTCGCCTTCATTTATGATTGAAATTTTTTTTCTGTATGTGATAGGAGTTAGCATATAAAAAATGAAAAAAATAATCATTTAACTTTTATAATTTTAACTTAATTATAACTTAATCCCTGAACTTTGACTTGTTATAATTTAATCCTTATAGTTTTGATTAAGTTGTAACCAAATCTCTGAATTTTGACCTTTACAATTCAATCTTTATAAATTTAATTATTTAATATACAAGTCCCTATATTTTAAAAATTAAAATTATGTTAAAATTTAAAATTTTAAAACCATAAAAAATAAGTTGCAAAAGTTAAAGTTTAGATATTGAATTACAACTGAGTTAAAATTATAAGAATTAAATTATAAAGAGTCAAAGTTTAGGAATTATGTTACAATTAGGCCAAAACTACTAAGATCAAATAATTAATTTTCCTAAAAAATAAATCAAACAACTAAAGCATACAAATTAGGATGAAGGGCATATTAATTGGCTCTTATAAATAGTTAAAAGCTAAATTATACTTTTAGTTCTTTAATTTAATATAAAGTTTTAATTTAATTCTTTAATTTTATAAATTATCTTTTTAATTTTTTAATCTCAACATCATTAGTTTTAAATGATTATTTTTTGTGTCAATTATTATTATTTTAAAAAAAATTTAAACTTAATATATATATATATATATATTATATTTGAGAATATTTTGTCAATACTTAAAAGTTTAATGTAAAAATTTATTAGGATAAAAACTAACACTATTAGAGATAAAGGTTAAAAAGACACTTTATAAAGTTAAGAAATTAAAATAAAATATCATGTAAAATTAAAAATTTAAATGTATAATTTAGTTAATAGTTAAACATTGAAACAGAGATACAAAGAGAGGGTCGAGAGACGAGAGGCCGAGTCGCTGAGACAGGGAAAAAAAAACCCTAGACTGACTACATCGCGTGATTGAAATGAACAGTTGGATATAGATGATCAGTCTAGCTTCTATCCTTTTTCCCCCCTGGACAAACTCAGGGTCTTTGGTCATCAAGAAGCAGCCAATTGTCTGAAGATCATGAATAATTGCCAGGTCAGCAGGGAAAGATTGATTGCATATCCAATTATAACTGCATTTTTTTTCTTTTTTTGGCTCTACAATTTACTGATTTCTGAAATATCCCGCTCTTTTCCCGTGGGAAGCATAAAGGCTGAGTTCAGATTCAGTCATGAAGTTTTATGTAGAAGAGACAATAAGCTGATACAGAATTAGATTCATTATATTGTGACGGAGGCTTTTGAGCATTAAAAGAGGCTTAATTATACATCTGACGTCATCATGCCACTAACCCTAACGGGGGAGACGACTCGTTCAAACCCCAAAGCTCAAAGGAATAGACACAGCCAGAGTCCAAACAAGCATAACATCACGAAACCGGCCACGCTCTTGAACTTAAAATATTCATGTTATAGGAAGCCAGAGTTTACCAGCGAATGTATTCGCTATTAATATATTCAACCTCCTCCTCGCTGACCTCCTCTCCTTTTATTCCCTGCCCCCCTCTCTCTCTCTATATATATGGTCCTCTTCCTCGTCCCATCAAAATTGAAGCCTTGGCACCGTATGTATGGAATTTCCACTCATGAATCCCACAGGGAAATCTCCCAGGAGATCCTCTGAACTCCAAGGTCCACGTCCCACGCCTCTCAGGATCAACAAGGACTCTCACAACATCAAGAAGCCCCCACTTCCTCCTCGCCAACCCATTATCATCTACACTGTTTCTCCCAAGATTATCCACACCACTCCTTCTGATTTCATGACCCTCGTTCAGCGCCTCACTGGATCTCACTCCTCTTCTAATAATACTTCGTCTTCCTCAAACCACGATCCTTTCACTTGTGTTGCTCACGATGATGATGGCGCTGCGGTGTCGCCTGCAGCACGTTTCGCCGCCATAGAGAAGGCCGGGTCGTTGCCCAAGAATAAGATTCAGCATCCGAATGTTGACGTAGGTGTTGCCGATGGGGCGGAGATCAGCGGCGCCAAGAAGACCGTGTCTCATGGGATTTTGTCGCCGGGACCCACTTCCTTGTCTCCGATCCCTTCGAGTTTCTTTTCACCACCGTCGACATCGGAGCCCGGCGTGGTTGGCCTTTTTCATGATTTGAGCCCCGTGCTTCATAGCGGCAGGAATTTAATGGAGGGTGGTTTCGTCCCTAGCCCTTCTAATTACTTTGTTTCGCCTCGTACTATTGATTTATTCCACACTTTATTTAACTAATTAATGATTAATGACTAGTTAATATAATTTCCTAGTTTTTCTACACATTTCATGTTGTAGTTAGTTTCTCAGACAAAGGATATGGGCATATACATGCAAATCAAGCTTAAATTGGAAATTTGTTTTGTTGCTCTTTTGGACTTGGAGGCTAGCAGATGGAAACTTCTCAATGGATTTATCATTGATATACCATCGAATATTTCCTTTGATGATGAGTGGGCCATAATATCACTAGATTAATTCGTTGACGCCATTTTTGTCATGTTTCATCAATATGGCACTGGTAATTAGTGACTTGGCTCGCTCTATATATTAATTGCTATGCTTGAGTTCCCATCTTTCTGTCTTGTTATGTACTTCGAGTTTCATATTGTTCTTCGCTAAAGTCATGACTAATTAATTTAAATTAAATCCCAACTAATTTTAAAGTATCAAACTTAAAAAATTTATAAGTCTGACTCTTAATTTTATAATTTTATTGTGATAAATTTATAATTTATATTTTAAATTTTAACAGAAAAATAAATTTTTTTATTTTTTAACTATATTAAAACTTGAAAAATAAATTATAAATTCATCACAATAAAGTTACAAAATTGATAATCAAACTTACAAATCCTCAGAGTTTAACACTTTAAAATTGGTTAGGATATCTTAATTTAAATTAATTGATTTCTTTAAAGTCTAACTGTCATTCTCCCTCTAAATAGGCTTTCTTGCAAAACTTGATCATTAATATTTAGTAAAACCCGATACCCGACTTCTGCAAAACTCGCATATATAACCGGCGAAAATTAGGGGAATAATAGTTGTGTGTGTGTGTGTGTCCAGTAAATAATACATCAGCCTGCTCCTAGAAGACATTTAAATTATAATTAAGACAAAATTTGGAAGATGCGGCATTCAAAACCAAAATGTGCTTTTCTGGTGGAAGTAATAAGGTTTAAATCAACTTGCAGGAAATCACCAGGTTTTCTATTTAGAATTTAGATCGTAAAACCTAGACCTAGTGTTGAAGAACACCGTTATCGAAATATTTGATTATTTTGTTGAAACTTAATAAGACAGAGATCCCAAAATATGGAGAGAAAAAATTATACACTTAAAATAACGAGAGTACTAAATTAGTTTTTGTTCAAGTAACATGATCACGAGAAGAATTATATTGCAGGAGATAACTCTTGAATGTGTTGGGTGATGAATGGTGATCACATCACATCCATGAATATGAACTAATTTCTACAATACTTGCAACGCTGGGACAACAATGTCCTGTTCGGAATTACAAGGACTAATTTATATAAATTGAACAAATTGAAAAATCAATGAGCAAAAGTCAAACTAAAAGGATTAAAAGGATTTCCTAACTTGGGGAAATTTCCAGCTATTATATATATTATGGAGAATGATCGAGAGGCCCAAAAAGATCAATTAATTTAAATTAGATCTCAAATATCAAATTTCAAAAGTTAACAACTCAATCATTCAATTTTGCAACTCCGTTATGATGAATTTATAACTTGTATTCTAAATTTTAATAAGAAAAATAATTTTTTAATTCTTCAATCATGTTAAAATTTAAAAAATAAGTTACAAATTCATTACGATATAGTTATAAAATTAAAAGATTGAGTTATAAATTTCTGGAGTTTGATACTTAAGACCTAACTAAAATTAATTGATCATTTTAAAACTTCTTTATCATTCTACCTATATACTATACTCATACTTGATCATATTTATCGTAGCATAAAAAATTACAAACTAACCATCTTAATTTTACTCTTGATCTTTGTGCATATACCGTTTCGCAATAAGATATACGCTTGATCTTTGTTCAATTGATGCGTCTGTTTAGTCATTTTTTTCCGAAGTTAATTAAACTCGCGTATTAAATTATTTTTGTGTTTCTGAACATTTAAATTCATCAATGAATAATTAATTGATTATATATAATTGTATTTTACAAAGACAATGGGACTGGATCGACAGTGTCAACTGTCAAGTTGTGCAGGACAAAACAAAAACGATGTCTATTCGGGGCCTTGAAAGACATGAACGATCATTGGATAAAATTTGGATCCCCAAAGTCAAAAGGTTAGTTTAAGACTCAAACCAAATATTTGAGTATTTTATAATCAATAATTGACGATCATAAGGGAAAGCTTGATTAAAAGATTTGGTGCGGAAATTAAAAGCAAAAACCCTTTACTATCAAATTGGATTTATAACATCTTTGTCCCAAAAAAATTGGCTTAATAATATAATAGTCAAAAGTGCTTGACATGACCGGCTAAAGATCTTTTTTTTTTTTAATTCCAACACTTGGTATCCACCTCCTGTCCAGATTAATTTGAACCTTTATTATATGAAATCGATGTTACCAATGGTGGCTTGATGGGTACTTTGAAGATGTCTTTGAAATATTTATTTAATGCAATTGTGTGTTTTAAGACTTGGACTCGAACTCAAAACCCTTGAATAAGCTAATTCAATTCTTTTAACCAATTGAACCAAGCGTCTTTCAATTGAAAATGTGTTTTGTACAAATTAAAATCACACAAGATTTTTTTTTTTTTGGAACAAAATTGCATGATGACAGGGGAGCCGGCGATCGAAGCCTTGGTGAACAACGATCGTAACTATAACGGTCCTAAGGTAGCGAAATTCCTTATCGGGTAAGTTCCGACCCGCACAAAAGGCGTAACGATCTGGGTACTATCTCGAAGAGAGGCTCGATGAAATAGACATGTCTGTGAAGATGCGGACTACCTGCACTTGGACAGAAAGACCCTATGAAGCTTCACTGTTTCCTGGGATTGGCTTTGGGCCTTTCATGCGCAGCTTAGGTGGAAAGCAAAGAAGGCCTCCTTTCGAGGGGCCCGAGCCATCAGTGAAATACCACTCTAGAAGAGCTAGAATTTTAACCTTGTGCTAGGACCTACGGGCCAAGGGACAGTCTCAGGTAAACAATTTCTATAGGGCGTAGGCCTCCCAAAAGGTAATGGAGGCGTGCAAAGGTTTCCTCGGGTCAGACGGAGATTGGCCCTCGAGTGCAAAGGCAGAAGGGAGCTTGCCTACGCAAACCGTTTACCTGTAACTATTCAATATCCTTATGAAAAATTAATAACATCGAAACATTTTTGCCATCGAATCCATTTTGAATTTGATAAGTGCATTACTTGTGAAGTATGTGTTCGTGTATGTCCTATAGATCTACTCGTTGTTGATTGGAAACTGGAAACTAATATTCGAAAGAAACGATTGCTTAATTACAATATTGATTTCGGGATCTGTATATTTTGTGGTAACTGCGTTGAGTATTGTCCAACAAATTATTTATCAATGACTAAAGAATATGAACTTTCTCTTTATGGTATTCCACCCTTTGCTTGCTTTTGGTCCAAAGATCAAATTCTTAATGATATTTGGTTGTATTCACCAATTTTCACAATAATAGCTTCTTCCACTGCAGGATTAACTACATTTTATATGTTTTGGATCTATTAACTTGTTATTGAAGGATATTTAAATGTTAATTTGTAAAAATTTTAATGAAAAAAAAAATAGCTCATTCTGTTCAATATCTTTATGGGGTAAAGAAAAAGAAGTGAAAAAAGAAATGAATTTATGTTCTTTATGTCTAGACTAAAAAAAATAGAATATTTCTTTGAAATTCTATATTCTTTTCTATATTCATATTAATTATGTTATCAATAGCTAAGAATAAAATAGCTAAGAATAAAGAGTTAATAACTAAGATCCCAGTAGTTTATTAAATTCCTATGCGTGCACAAATTTTGTTATGTGAGCCCGCTTAGCTCAGAGGTTAAAGCGTCACATTTGTAATGCGATGGTCATCGGTTTGATTCTGATAGCCGGCTTTTTTCTATTTGTTTTGATTTTTTATGTAATTCCAGATTGAAATCCAATCTCCTTTTTTTATTAATTAATAATTATTAATAATAATAATATTAATTATTTCAAAAAGAATTTTGAATTATTTTCGAATTGATTCTAATTATTATTTATTTTTCTATTTTGATTTATTTACTAACGAATAATGAATAATTAATATTCATTATTTCATTATTCTTTTTTATTTTCTAGTTCAAATTTCTTCTATAAAATAGATGATAACGTAGAGTTTTTAGATAGGAATCATCTTCCACATTTACATAACTAGAGATCAATCCTACTGACAAAAGTTGGATCTTAATTGAAGAGTTACCCATATTTAATGTTTAACCATATCTTGAACATGACTGTTTTTAATAAAAGAATACCTATGAACAATCAAAACAACTAAAGAACAATAATATTATAATTAATATGTAATATAGCATACTCTCTCCTTTACACTGCTTTTGTTGTTTGTAGGCTTTATTGGGTAGTGGTTTCAAAACATTTGTTGTTTTGCAATTTCACATCTTGGTTTTTCCCTAGTATGCCTTCATTCAATACCAACAACTTCACTTCTTTCTGTACATTTGTGGTCATACTTCAAAATTAGTACTCATGTTGTTTTAGAATTGCATGCCTGGTTTATTTATTTTCAATAAGATTCTTATTAAATGATTTAATTACTTACCATAATATCGTACTTGCTCGCACTCTAAATTCTTAAATATTGCATTAAATGCGTTTTCTTTTTCATATAAAAAAATGAGGTAAATTGAATTCCAAGGACTTACTAAAATCATGACATACCTCTAGACTTAAAAGAGCATTTAAACAAATCTATTTTAGTTCATGTTAATTGTGGAGCAATGTTTTACCTTAATTGATGATCCTTTTTTTTTTTTTAAGTTTGTGTAAAAATACTATTTCACATGGAGTAACATGTCAGTGGCTTGGACCTGGGATATTTCAGAAGGCATGACACACCAGCAAATGCCTGTACTCTCGCCGCTGGTTAGCACGAACCTAAAGCCACTCAAAGCCAAAAGAATCATAGGCATTGGCGCATTGCCTTTGATCGGTGGAAGGTCTCCCTACAAAGAGTCGCCGACCAAAACACGACATCGGAGACGGCATGAATACAATCACTTGTGAAAAAAAGAAAATCCTTCGTTGTCCATCCACGTGTTGACTTGCATAAGATGTTAAGCCCAAATCCTGCTGCCATGGTTAGCCTGTACCTAAAGTGCACGTAGCCTGTTTTCGAGAGGAAGAGGGGGCTAAAAGGAAGAAAAATTATGGTTTTCACTTTTAATCCAAATAACACGCACATAAAACGTTGTAAAAAAATCGCCTTTCTCAAACATTCATATGGTCATGGCCGGGCCAAAAAGAAGAGCAGCCTTATATTAGATTGCAAGCGCGCGTCTCAGTTGTCTATACTTGAACGTCATTCATCATTACACAGAAGCACCAATCTAATATCTATCAACGAATAAATAGGATGTACAATAAATAAGCTTTAAGACTCTCACGATGGGCCGTTCAGGCAGTGAGCTAATGCCTTGTCCGTATCGTTGTCATTCATTATCAAGGCTTCCGCAACGGTGCTTGTTGCAAATCCCATTTCACGCAGGAGGGTGTAGCCATTAACAAATTCTTGAACCTGAAATGAATCAAGCCATTGGTTACGAGAATGGTTTAGGCCGCAAAGAGTGTCACGCAACATCTTTCCAGGAATGCGACTTAAACAACTGCGGGTAATTAAAACATTCATGAAAAATATTATGCACGTCTTCTAGTGATTGGCATAGAAAGTATTTGCAGAGATAGTTTTTCTTTATTAGGTAAAATCATCAACAAAAAATCATTGCCCGAAAAACTTGTTACAACCAAATTAAATGGGGGATGATGTTGGTAGTCTCACTTCAAAAAAGAGGGGCTGATTATCATCTATAAATATACCCTTTTCAAATTAATTTCCGAAATCTCTACTAAAATATTTTCAACTCAAGCTGTTTCTGGTAACCACAAACAGGCCAACTCAAGTAAAAAGAACGACAAATTGAATTGTTGGAAATAAAACTAAGTGCCAGGCCATGACCTCTATCAGTTGACTTTACCAAATCCTGAAAAAGTTTGCCCATGAAAGCCAAGATGACAGGTACTGGTAGTAGTAGAATAGGAGGCAAACTAAAGGGTGAGAAATTTGTGTGAAGTAATTTCTCATTCGCATACAGACAGATCTTGAAGTGATCTAACATCGAGAGAGTGTGTATTGTAGCAGAATCTTTTCCATTAACGTTTAAAGCAGAACGACTTCCGGAATGACATCCATCACTAAAGATCACCATTACATTTCGTTTATCATTGATATTTTCCCTTTATGGTGAAGACACAGTGGATTTTGGGAAAAGAAGAACCAAGGGGGTTTGGAGGGGCAGAAAATAACCATATGATTCACAGATCAAACACAACATAAGTAAACTATAGTGTATACCAGCTCTGGAACAGTAACTAACGTTGCCCTGTAACTCAAACCATATTAAAAGATGATTTAGTGATTTTGGATAATGCACTGGGCTCGTGCTACCAAGTTGCAAAAAGTTTGGTAGGATAAAGAAGGGAAGATATTAATTCACTGTGCTACTCATGCAACTCTTTGGTGCATTTATTTAGAGAGAAACTTCTGTGTTTCAAGCACCTGATAATTTAAAAATGGCAGATGTGTAAAGGGTCAGGAAGATATCTTTACATGTTTGTTTGTCTGTCATTTTTCGTGTCTTGATATCTTTACAAGCAAAATGCTTGGATGTGATTCTCTCTTTTATTTTCTTCTGCCCTCACCCCACTCCATTTGTTGTATTTTTCTTCCTTACATATTGCCATTAGATATTTCCTTTTTTTAGTGAACAAAATATTTTTCCGCACCAAGAAATTATCGACTTGGTCCATAAAAATCAAGGTACCATACAATCTGCAGCATTCAGGGCAGAGAGAAAGACATTTGGCATGTGTAGAAATCAGAAAAAAAATGACCATACTTTTTCAGCAATGCTATTGTTAGAGCATCACGTGCAAAGTGAGATACAGGGATCAAGCATATACCTTGGTTGGATTATCTCCATAATTGGCAACAGCAATTGGAACAGCCTCTCGGTTGAGCCCAGAAGCAATATATTTGCTCACAATAGGATCAGAAACAGGGCCCTGCAATAAAGTAGCGTCCATTTCTCATATCAAGAGCAGGAAGCTAATTTAATAAAGTACACTAATCCCCGAGGTATGATGAAGTTAATTTTCTACATAATGAGTGTTCCCTTCAGAAATAATCATTGAGCTATCTGTACTGGTATAATATTATAGTCTTTGTTTTGAAAGTATTAACTCAGCTGCCTAAACTATCATAAAATCAAAATATCATTTTGTGCTAAAAATCACGTTTAGGAGGATGTTCAAGCACTTTACTTTCTTAATAAATTATAATAGCCCATATTTTCTCAAAAAATGGTTCTTTTTCCAATAGATAAAATTAACTAACATAAAAGAAATGGCAATATGGCATGCATCCATCAGTGGGATTCACTACCAAAATAAAGAACATACCTTTGGTGATGTAGATTCAACACTCTTAGCTGGAAGAATTTCCATACCAAATCTACTCCAATTGGGGTTTTGCTTCTCAGCTTCTGCCAAAACTTTTCTCTCCAAGTCAAAATCAAATTGAAAGTTGCTACGTGGTATATCTCCACCATGTGGTAACAAATGAGGCTACAAAATTGGCAAAACCACACAAATAGTTTATTAGATTGTTACTATAGAATCAAGTCAATGATGTGAAGCAGGACCAGCCAAAAATAAAGTGAGAATGGAATTAAAGCAGCATTAATCTCCCAAACATAGAATGTCATCAAACCACATTGGGTTACGAATTGTCTAGGCAAATATATTAATGCATAATCTTTTGCCCCAGATAACAGAGTTATAATATTATTTGCAACAGCCACCTCATAGGGGATATCTTCGCAGACTTGCAGAATATTTGAAAGCTATAAAAGTACAACAAGGGCAGAAAAGAAATGGGTTTTGCATCTCTAATAACTCCTGAAATTACCATAAGGAAAACCAGTGAAAAAGAACGTCTACTTGCTTTTTAATCATTATTCAGTCTAAGAAAATGCCTGAAAATGAAGGAGAAACACCTTAGTTCCTATTTACAAAAATAAAAAAGATATTCAGAATTTTGCAAATTATAGAGAAATTAAGCGTATGAGTCATATAATGAAATTGTCGGAAAAAGTAATTGAACATAGGTTGAGATTGGAGACTGATATTTCTGATAATCAATTTACCTTCATGCCTAGTAGGGTGACTATAGAAGCGATTTATCTACTAAGGGCATTAATGAAAAAATATTAAAGTAAATGTAAAGAGTTACACATGATTTTCATTGATTTGAAAAAAACTCATGGCCATGTACCAAAAGAAGTATTTTGGAAAGCTTTAAAAAAGAAAGGAGTCCAGGTTACCTATATTAAAGCTATACAAAATATGTATGAAGGCGCAACTACTAGTATAAAAACGTCCGACAGTAAAACAAAAGCCTTTCCTATAGGGATTGAACTAAATCAGGGATAATTTTTTACTCCTCATTTTTTTGACCTAGTATTCAAAAGAAAATCCCCAAATGCATGCTTTTTAAGAATAATATAGTTCTTATTACGAAGACAAGAGAAAAAATTAACTGCAAACTTGAGTTATGGAGGAAGACCTTAAAGTCGAAGAGTTTCTGCTTAAGTAGGAGTAAGATGGAATATTTATATTACAATTTTAATAAGGGGCCAGTCGATAGTAATTTGAAGTGAGATTAGGAGATTAAATTATATTTCAAGTAAAAAAATCTAGATATTTAGGAGCTATTATTCAACATAATAGAGAAATTGATAGGAATGTTATGCATGGAGTACAAGCCGAGTGATTTAAATAGAGAAAAAAAAAAGGAGTTATTTGTAATCGAAAAGCACCCAATAAACTTACAAGAAAGTTTTATCAAACTACTATAAAACTAGATGTGTTACATGGTAGTGATTGTCAAGCTTTAAAGGGACAGAAGGAATATAAAGTTGAAGTAGTGAAGATAAGAATGTTGATATAGATGTGCGGGCATACACAAAAAGATAAAATTCAAAATGAACATAAGTGAGAAAAAGTGGGTGTGGCATCTATTGAGAGAAAATGATTAAAAAAATTATTTAAAATAATTTAAACATGTACAGAGAAGGCCATGGGAGGCACTAATAAGGAGAGTGGAATGAATAATTTTGAATCCTGTAAAGAGAAATAGAGAAAAGCTAAAGAGAACAATTATATAAGTTGTTGAACAAGACCATTTAATTAACAATATTTTTAAAAACTTGATTGATAATAAAGCACAATAACATCGAACAATTCATATAGCCGACATCACCTAGTGGGAGGCTTATTGTTGTTATTGTTCACCATATTTACCAATAATTTTTTTTGCCAATGTTTGCCAATAATTCACAAAAACATCCATGAGCCCAATTCTGTAGAAAAAATAAATCAAAATATCCCCAGTGTAATGATGACTCCCAAATTACACCCAGAAATTTATCAAATACTACTAAATATGGGGAGTCATCAATCTCCACCACCCAGATGGGCAAAAGTGACAAAAGATGGATGAAATAAACAATCAAATTCTCAAAGCAGGTATACATAATGAGCAAGAGGTGCAGCAAACTGAATGAAAGAATAATTAGGAACAGGAGGAATTTGAAGTTGTTAACCCACGCGAAATCAATTTAAGATAAACAGCAGCCGCTGCTTACAAACAAAAAGTATTAGCATCCAAATATCTAAGTTGTACCACAACAGAGGCAGGCGTATCAGGGACAAATATTGAGGAGCAGTGCTTCAAAGGAACAACAAGCAAAAGATCCACTACAAAGTACACATATATTTGAGTTTTCATCTCCATAATAACACACAAGATTCATTTCAAATCAAATTTATGATTGCGACAATTAAAGTAAATCTTACCGGTGGAGTGATCCTGTATTCCGGCTTTATAGCAACCTTAATGCCCAATCCTGCTGAAAATACCATAAGAAAAACGCCATGATTTTGATGATATAAACAATTTAATCATGGAACGAGACATATCAAGTTCCCCGTAATTTTCCGGAAGAATAAAACAATGTTAGACATGACATTATCTGCCTATTTTAACCCGGGTAATCAAGTTACTTTGGTCCAAATTAGAGCCCTAACACCCTATTAGATTCAGTTCAACAGTAACTATCGAACCTTTAGAGGTTCAATTCAACAATAACTAATCGAACCGTACGAGGTTCCAAACAACTGGTTCCCTTTCCATATCTTCACATTTTCTTATCTAAATTTCAGAAGAGTTTAGAGAATAGTAAAATTAAAGGAGGGAGTGGAGAAGGGTCTATACACGGAACGGACGAGGTAGAAGTCTGATGATGCGGTGAGGGACGGGCGGCGGGAGGAGGTGCGACAAGGCCATGCGGGCCGACCTTGGGGTACAAAGAGGGCCCGTACATGGGGTGGGTGGGAGGCGAAGAAGACGAGGATTGACGGTAGATTGGAACCTGTGCGTCGTGGGGTGGACCTGACCTGGTTCTGAAATCGTAGTCCATGACCTCACAAAAATGGTCGCGGGAAGGAAAATCTTCAGCAACAACAAGAAGCCACGACGCGTGAACTGTAAGTTGCGATTTGCTAGAGCCACGTCTTCAGCGACATTTCCTTCGCGTTTTACCCTTCCTCAGGTTCAATCACGCGCAACTTCGTCATAAAATCATGACAATCCACATTTACTTGTTTTATTTTTATATTTTATTTTATATCTATTAAAATAAAAATTATAAATTTTAATAAATTTATTTTATTATCAACTTAAATAATATAATATATATTTAATTTAGATATTTTAAATTAATATTAAATATTTTATATAAATTAATTATCTAGATATACTTTGTATAATTTAAATTTAAAATTTTTAAATTATAACTTTTTTTAAAAGTTTTCAAGAGATAGTTTGTAGATTATCTTTATCTTTATTATTAATATTATGTTTATTAAAATGAAAATTTATAAAAATTATAGAAAAAAGTTTAATATTAAATTCAAACTGAACAAAATACATCTATATAATCAATTTACAAGAGTTATAAAAAATTTAGTATTAAATTAAACTATCTAAATTAAATCTATATTTTTCAAATTAATGGTAAAATAAATTTCTTAAAATTTTATAATTTTTATAATAAATATAAATAAAATTTTAAAAATAAAATCTAAAAACCTAGACCTTTCAAATTAAAAATTTGGATAATTTAAATTGCTCATTAACTGATAAGCACTACTATGAGCATAGAAACTAAACGCCCTCAAATGCTGTTGTATGAGTAATATATAGGTTGAATCATGTATAAGGATTTAGAAAGGTAATTATTTATAAATAATGACCAATATAAAATATATTATTATTAAAATAAGAATATAACTTATTTTTTGAATATGAATTGTTATTGATCCTTATTTATGAATAATTTTTTCTTTGATCCTTAAATGTGATTCTTCTCAATAAATAACACTCCCTCCACTTATTATTGAAAGACATTTTCTCGATACTTTCTACCTTCCAAATTATAAGATATTTTTGAAAGATTTGACATTCTAAAGATAAAACATTTTGATAAAAATAAGGTTCTATTATTTTTTTTAATATTACTCTTTTTATATACTTCTTCTGGACCATAATATATAAGACAGTAGTAACTAATTAACGGTTCTTAAAAAGGTTAATTGAAACATAAATTTCTTAAAATAATTCAAATCTTTTCAACCATACTCTCATTAAATATTATATATAAATTACTTGACAATAACAATTAAAAGTATAATGTATAATTATTTTTTAAAAAAGTAATAAATGAAGTAGGAGTAAAGTTAAAAAATTAATTATAAAATTCGATCGATACCTTATATTTTAAATTAAACAATGTTTATAAAAGGCACTCTATATTGCAATCCGGAGGGAATATTTTATCTCTTTGATATTCTTTAGGAAATAGAGTATTGAATGAAAAATATTTTTGAATGTTTGTATTTTTGCTTTAAAAAAGTAAGATTATAAAGTATATTTAATGCTAGTAAAAAAATAATATGTAATAAGTTTTATTGGTAAATGTAATTTTGTTTAAAATTGTCTCATAATTTAAAATGAATGTAGTACTTAATATTATAATTATAAGTAATATATTAATTATTTGAATTAGACATCAAGAGGGCAAACTGTGATTAAAGAAAAGTATCTTTAAAAAGATAAATTGAAAATAACAACGAACACATATTTTTTATAGATAAAAATAGCTAAAAATGCCTTTATAATAATAAGAGGATAAACTAATGCTAGTATTAATAAGAAAACAAGTTAACAATATTTAACGAGACTCGTAAATTTATGATGAACATAAATGAGAGATTTTTCTTCCAGCATAAAAGGTTTTTATGTTTTTATTCAATGAGAGTAATAAATATAAATATAATGATAAATACTCTCCCATTAAAAAATATAAGATATTTTCAATCGAATAATACTTTTATTAAATAAATTAATTATCTTTAAATTCATATTATCTTTTTATATTTATCTTTGTTAATAGGGTGTTTCACTTAAAGTGAAGAGTTGGGTTGTTTATTTGTTAAGGATATTTAAAAAAATTAATTATACATTAAAAAACTAAAAATATTGTATATTTTTAAACATTAAATCTCAAAAACATGTCTCATGTGTTTTTAATAGAGGGAATATTTGTTTGGGAAATTTCATTTAAGACCCCTCGACTATGCTTAATAAAAAAAAAAAAACTCCTTAAACTCTGAAAATTTATTCCAAACTAGGGGTACTAAAATGAAATTAAAATGCTATCTCATTTCCCTCATCCCCTTTGATTCTATATTAAAGTTATTCATTTTCCTGCATGAAATTGTTCATAAACTTATAAGAGTCGTTTGTGTCACTGCTGAATCTTGATTTTATTTCAAATATTATAATCATGATAAAATAATTTGTCCATTTTCTTACATCAAGTTATTCATTAACCTATAAGAATTGTTTTTGTTATCACTAAATATTAATTTTACTCCAAGTGTTATAATCATAATAAAATAAGTTGTTCATTTCTTTATGTGAAGTTGTTCATTAACTTATATGAGTTGTTTGTATTATTACTATTGATTTTATTATATGTTATAATTATAATAAAATGAGTTATGTATTTCCTTACATCAAATTATTCATTGATCTACAAGAGTTATTTGTATTATTATTAAATTTTAATTTTATCCCAAGTGATGTGAAGTGCAATCAAATAAACAACTGCATACATAACCATGCCCAAATTTTCAATTCATGGGATGAGACTTGAGAGACGAAGCTCGTTCACAAATAATTTGCCCATGAATTCTACATGATTTTTTGTTCATTCCCTCACCAGATAAGTTTTCATCCCGTTTGCATAGTCAGCAGCTCTTTTATTTTGATTTTTTATGCAAATCACAAGTAGTACAATTAATGGTTCAATCGTCCTTTTGTTTGAAAGGAGAACTCGAACTGAGTTCAAGAAAGCAGGTGACGTTCTCGAAGCGACCCCAAAAACTCTTTAAGAAAGTTGAGGAGCTCGTAATTCTTTGCGATGCACGTGTTGCTCTCGTGATCTTCTCTATCAGCGAATTCGATTTCGACGCTCATCTTCACCACGGCGCTCATCACCAAAACATTGCCATTTGGCAGTGTTACTTTTTTTTTTTGATTTTTTAATCACAAATTTATTATAATAAAAAAAATAAATATTATAAAATTATTATTCTAATATTTAATAAATAAATATTAAGATGATAAAATTAAACTTGAATAATTTAACTCATTAAAATTTGACTTAAATAATTCATATATAAATTTTGATCTAAATAATTTAGAATTGTATTGAAAAATTAGAATTGTAACTAAAAATATTTTATTTTTTATTTTATTAATTTTGTACAGTTGTTTATCTATAAAAGGTAATATCTATGAAATGTAATGTCATTTCAGGCATGATTGGGTATTAAATATAAGTATTTCTTTTAACAAAAATTTAAATATTAATTTATTACAATGTAAGAAATTAGTTCATTTTGCTAGACACAGTCCCTGTTTTAAACTTTTTAAATCATTTTCTTTTATCTTTTTAGTACAATTCTGAGCTGCTCTTTCATTGCTCTAATTCAAGGTTTCTCTCTCTACACATTTCCTTAATTAGAAGGGAGTGAAGGAAAAGAGGATATAAAGAAGTTTTTTTTTTTTTTACCAAGAAATTTTTAGTTTGAAATAAGGTTAGTCTTATCATTTCTCACAATATTTTAATTTTACTTTACTACCACTACTGGTCTGAAATAAAGTTTCAAAATTTAAAGAATTTTTTTTTATTAAATGTAGTTAAGAGATCTCAAATGAAAATTTTCCAATTTGTTTTCTTTTTCGTGCACAACAACATGATGTCATGAGTAGTGCCAAAACTTCATTAACACTTCTCCAATCCCTAACCGACTATCTAACTCAAGTTTTTCCCAAAGAAAATCATGTCATCAGTGGCATGTTTGGATTGATATGAATTTAAATTTAGACCAAATTCCTCATTTAAATATATAAGAATTTATGAATTTAGAAATTCAAATCTATTTTTTAATTATATTTCTTTTATAATTTTAAATTTTTCTATACTCTAGTCATTTAAAATTTTAGTTACTTTAAATATATTATTTTCTTTTTGTTTTTACTATTAATTCCTTGATGACTCTCATATCTTTTGTTCATATCTCGTTCTAGTCTCTCACTGCTAAAAAAAATAAAAGTAAAGCTTACCACTTCTAATTTTTTTTTATTTGCGTTTCAAATTTCAACTCACATCTCTTATTCAGTTAAAGTTTTTTAAATTATCTAAATACAAAATTTTAAATGTGAGATTTTACATTTTTAATTTAAATTCAAATTTATTAATCTAGATGTTATCTAGAACACTAATGTGTCAAAACAATTCAAATATAATCAATAAAAAAAACATAACTTTTAGTCAATGTAATTTGTTATTGGTCCTTACATTTTATTTTTAGTGTTCTAATTCCTTGCTGTTTTTTTCATTTGCGCTTTAGGTCCCTACACTTTTAGAGGGATGATGACATTGCATTGACAATATTAATTATGCTAATGTGAACAATAACGTCGTTTATTATATGGTGACATGTCAATTAGTGGCTGATGTGTATTTTTTTTTGGGAAAAAAAAGAAAGAAAAGCTTTTGTATATTCGGTCCTTATTATAAAAAGTTTTCAATTGTTTCACTCATCTTAAAATTTTTTGTTATCATAAAAAATAATATGTACTTTTATTTGTACCCTTGACTTTAACTAATGATGCCACTACATTACATAACCTCACATTAATCAAGACAGGATAAAATTAAAAAAATAATTTAATTATTACAAAGTATTGTATATTTTGGACAAAAAAATTCTTTCTAGAATGTCCTGAGTAACATCCTAAATTTTAGATAATAAAAAAATTATAAAATTTAGGTCTTATTGAAGATTAAAAAATAAGAATTTATATTATTTTGATGTTTAAATTAAGGAATGAATTTGTATTTGAGGTTATTCAAAAGTAATAATATGGTCAGTCATTTAATTATAAATTAAAAATTTAAACTTAAAATCACA